GGAGAAATATCAATAACCTCAGATATGCAGATGACACCACCCTTATGGCAGAAAGTGAAGAAGAACTAAAGAGCCTCTTGATGAAAGTAAAAGAGGAGAGTGAAAAGTTGGCTTAAAGCTCAACATTCAGAAAACTAAGATCACAGCATCCGGCCCCATCACTTCATGGCAGATAGATGGGAAAACAGTGGAAACAGTGGCTGACTTTATTTTTGGGGGCTCCAAAATCACTGCAGATGGTGACTGCAACCATGAAATTAAAAGACGCTTGCTCCTTGGAAGGAAAGTTATGACCAATCTAGACAGCATATTAAAAAGCAGAGACATTACTTTGCCAACAAAGGTCTGAATAGTCAAGGCCATGGTTTTTCCAGTGGTCATGTATGGATGTGAGAGTTGGACTATAAAGAAACCTGAGCACCGAAGAAATGATGCTTTTGAACTGTGGTGTTGGAGAAGACTCTTCAGAGTCCCTTGGACTGCAAGGGGATCTAACCAGTTCATCCTAAAGGACATCAGTCCTGAGTGTTCATTGGAAGGACTGATGCTGAAGCTGAAACTCCAATACTTTGGTCACCTGATGCAAAGAGCTGACTCATTTGAAAAGACCCTGATGCTGGGACAGATTGAGGGCAGAGGAGAAGGGGACAACAGGGGATGAACTGGTTGGATGGCATCACCAACTCAGTGGACATGAGTTTGGGTAAACTCCAGGAGTTGGTGATGCTAGCGCACTGCAGTCCATAGGGTCACAAAGAGTCGGACACGACTAAGAGACTGAAGTGAACTGAACAAAGATCCAAGTCTTAGGAAGGAAATGGGCCCAAGCTTACATTAGGGAGCTGGGAGCCAGAAGTTGGACCGAGTCAGCCTGCTCCCTGCTCTTTATCTCTTTTCCTAAAGAATCTAAATTAAATCAGGAATTCGTGAAAGCACTCCTGCTGTCACCATGGGCTACAGGAAGCCCTGCCATGAAACTGGTAACAGTGTCACAGGGGATTGGATTAATGGCTAGTTTCTGGGCACCATTTTGTCTAGATCAACACCACTGTCAGCACTGCAGAATTCACTCTAGTCACGCTTTTTTTTTTTTTTTATTTAATACATGCATGAAGTCTTTTTTAAAAAAAGATTTTTGAAAAAATATTAAGATATAGTGTACATACATCCTCTTTATAAAGTGTACAATTCTTTAAGTTTAGTCAGGCAGCCAACAGTACCATCAGGATGTAGTATATATATTCCCATCATCCCCAAATATCCATGGCATCCCTTTGTAGTCAAGCCTTTACCCTTGCCCCTAAGGTATAATACTGATCTATATTCCTGTAGTTTATCTTTTCCAGAATGTCATATAAATTCATACATCATATTCTTTTCAGTGTGGCTTCTTTCACTCACTCAGTGTATCTGGGATACATCCATGTGTCTCCTTATACTGTGAATATTGCCTTTTTATAGTGGGCTTGGAGGCCTAGCATGCTGCAGTCCATGGGGTCGCAAGAGTCTGACATGACTGAGAGACCGAACTGAACGTTCATAGCCAGTTCTCCTGGATTATCTTTAGAATTTCTATGTTCTAAAGAGGCTGTTTTCATCATTTACTTTGTATCAATAAATGGATCTTTGCAGAGGCCTATTTTACTTCTGGCTCCTGCCATGGTCAAGTATTATTTCTCAAAAGAACCACTTGCAGGCAGCTTTGGTTATAAAGATATTAGGCTAGGCTACCCCTTATAAATTGGAAACCAGATCCATCTGCTGCACAGCCAGGATGCAGCCCACTAGACCTCAGCAAATCTTTACTTATCACCTTCTGGGTAATGAGTACAGACCCAGGCACTGGGGGCCTGCATTCATTGTTATTCATAATGATTTTCTTTTCTAACAGAATACAAAGAATTTTTTAAAATTTTCATCACCTTAATTGGATACTACTCTCACAGTACTGCTTTGTGTCTTGGAAAGTCATTTGTATGAGGTTAGATTGATTTAAAGTGATCATTTCTGATATATTTTCCTGAATGTAGTCCCAGCAGAAGAGACCCCATCCATGGCATCTTCCTAAATTGCAGCCACCAGCACTTTAATCTTTCTAGAATTTTAGCATCCATCTATAAGAAATCTAAACCTCAGCATCCACTTATTAATGAAGGAAAGTCATGCGTGGGGTTGGCTGGTACAGACTATAAATCAGTCCCCAGGCTTTGGTCACTGCTGTCCCCCTGCCAACCTCAGGATGAACCCAGATCTCCTGTGACGACATCACAGACAGAATGCCTTTGAAACACATCCTTTTTCTCCAAAATCCACTTTCCCAGGGCAATACCAAGTATCTCTATAAGCGCTATTCACCTTAAGTTATCACAGCATTGTTAACAGGCTCAACATTCAGAAAACTAAGATGTGGCATCTGGTCCCATCACTTCATGGCAAATAGATGGGGAAACAGTGGAAACAGTGACAGACTTTATGTTTTTGGGCTCTAAAATCACTGCAGATGGTGACTGCAGCCATGAAATTAAAAGATGCTTGCTCCTTGGAAGAAAAGCTATGACCAATCTAGACAGCATATTAAAAAGCAGAGACATTACTTTGCCAACAAAGGTCTGTCTAGTTAAGCCTAAGGTTTTTCCAGTATGTATGGATGTGAGAGCTGGACTATAAAGAAGGCTGCTGCTGCTGCTAAGTCACTTCAGTCGTGTACGACTCTTAGCGACCCCATGGACTGCAGCCCACCAGGCTCCTCCGTCCATGGGATTTTCCAGGCAAGAGTACTGGAGTGGGTTGCCATTGCCTTCTCCGAAAGAAAGCTGAGCACCAAAAAAATTGATGCTTTTGAACTGTGGTATTGGAGAAGACTCTTGAGAGTCCCTTGGACTGCAAGGAGATCCAACCAGTTCATCCTAAAGGACATCAGTCCTGAGTGTTCATTGGAAGGACTGATGTTGAAGCTAAAACTCCAATACTTTGGCCACCTGATGCGAAGAGCTGACTCACTGGAAAAGACCCTAATGCTGGGAAAGATTGAAGGCGGGAGAAGAAGAGGATGAGATGGTTGTATGGCATCACCGACTCAATGGACATGAGTTTAGGTAAACTCTAGGAGTTGGTGATGGACCAGGAGGCCTGGCGTGCTATAGTCCATGGAGTCGCAAGGAGTCGGACCCAACTGAGCAACTGAACTGACACCAATACAAAATAAAAAGATTTTTACAAAAAGACTTCAACAGCTAATTAAGAAGACAAATGCACAGAAATAGTATTTATGTTCAAAGAGTTGAGTTTTTTGTTTTCCTAATCAAATGACTTTATCCTAATCTTTAAAAACACTGACTTCATTGTTTTTATGTAAGAAAACTAAGGCCCTTCCTCAGTATGTCTGCTGGCTCCTGAGGTGGGAGGGAAGGGAATGCATAACTGATATTAGAGAAACGGAGGCCTAAAAGGACAGCTGAGCTCTTTTCCCTTGTGGTGGCAAGCGTGCGAGGTGTTTTGCCTCTGAGCCAAGAAAAGTTTGAGGCCATGCCAGTGGCTCACAGGATCTTGGAAACTGTCAAAGGGCCTCCTGATCAGCAACTTGGGGACAATCTGGTGAAGTTTATTCATATAGAGATTCTAGAATGGATAATTCTGTTTTAAAAACTGAGATTTAATTGACATAATGGGCATAATTGATCCAGTTATCCCTAGACACTGAAGCAGAACTCAGAACACCAAGAACTCAGCTGCTCACCAGGAAATGCCCTTAGGCAATCAGGCCTGTTCATCACCATTTGGACTTAGCAGTCATTCTGTTTAACTAAATGTTCCTGGTTACTTTTCACTGTAAGACCTCAACAAAAATTGGGAAATACTGGCTTAGAACTGACACTCTCCAGAGAAGAGACAATACCATTTCCAGGAAGCACTGATTATTGAGACCACAATGGTCAGATCAGGGAGGGTTAAACTAGAAATTCTCTAGATACTGATTTTTCTCTGGAGAAACCTTCTACCTCCAGATATGCAGATAACACCACCCTGTGGCAGAAAGTGAAGAGGAACTAAAGAGCCTCTTGATGAACATGAAAGAGGAGAGTGAAAAAGCTGGCTTAAAACTCAACATTCAAAAAACTAAGATCATGGCATCCAGTCCCATTACTTCATGGCAAAGAGATGGAGAAACAATGGAAACACTTTATTTTCTTGGGCTCTAAAATCACTGCAGATGGTGACTGCAGTCATGAAATTAAAAGACACTTGCTCCTTGGAAGAAAGGCTATAACAAACCTAGACAGTGTATTAAAAATCTGAGCCATTACTTTGATGGCAAAGGTCCGCCTAGTCAAAGCTATGGTTTTTCCAATAGTCACGTATGGATGTGAGAGTTGGACCATAAAGAAGGCTGAGTGCCAAAGAATTGATGCTTTTGAACTGTGGTGTTGGAGAAGACTCTTGAGAGTCCCTTGGACAGCAAGGAGATCAAACAAGTCAATCCTAAAGAAAATCAACCCTGAATATTCATTAGAAGGACTGATGCTGAAGCTGAAGCTCCAATACCTTGGCCACCTGATGTGAAGAGCTGACTCATTGGAAAAGACCCTGATGCTGAGAAAGGCTGAAGGCAGGACAAGAAGGGGATGACAGAGGACAAGATGGTTGGATGCCATCACCAACGGAATGGATATGAGCAAGCTCTGGGAGATGGTGAAGGACAGGGAGGCCTGGCGTGCTGCAGTCCATGGGGTTGCAAAGAATCAGACACAACTGAGCGACTGAACAACAACAGCAACTGCCTGACATGGTGCCTGACCTAGTAGAGGCTCTTGGGAGTGAATGGATGATCAATTCCCCTACTGCAACTGCCTTTCTCAGAAGATTTTGACATCCTGGCTGAGAGCGAAATGCTACCAGAAAGCCTTGGGTACTGATGAGCACAAAGCTAAGCTGTCCCCATAGTACCAGCAAACCCACTGCTGGGCTTCTTTCTATTCGCCTTAAGTTTTCATTTTGGAAAATTTCAAAGACAAACAAAACTAGAGAGAAGAATTTAATGTACCTACAGGTTTCTGCCACTCAGCTTCAACAATCATCAAAGCACAGCCAATCCTGTTTCATCCTCTGCGTTTCCACCCGACTGCCCTGGATTTTGCTGCAGTAAATCCCAAACACCACATCTTTATACTTATATTTCATTTATGTCTAAAAACAAAGACTTAAAAACATTCACACAATATCATTATCACACTTAAACAGCAGTTAACTATGACTCCTTAATATCCTCAACTATCTAGTCAGAATTCATTTTTTATTGACTGTCTCACAGAAATTTTTTTCAGAACATTTTGTTTTTCAAACAGGGATCTGAATAAGATCCAAATACTGTTTTTGGCTAATATATCTTTTAAGTCCCTGAGATAGTTAAGACTGTCTCACAAAAATTTTTTTCAGAACATTTCTTTTTTCAAACAGAGATCTGAATAAGGTCCAAATACTGATTTTGGCTAACATAACGTTTAAGTCTCAACATCGTACCACCTTTTTCATTTGTTTAAGAAACTGAATTGTTTCCCTGTGAAGATTCCCAGAATGTGGATTTTTGTGAGTGGCTTTGTCTCAGTGGTGCTATTTAATGTGCTCCACTGAACCCTCTGTTTCCTGTAAGTTGGTGGCTGGCACTAGAGGCTTGGACAGATCCAGGTTCAACTTTTAAGGGCAGCATCAGGAGGTATGTAATGTCTGGCTGCCTCTCTCAATGATTTTAGCACCATTAACACTTATTTTCCAGATGCATTCATGTACTGGGATGGCAAATTGGTGCTATGCTAATTCTATCACTGGGTCCAGGATGCTTCTCTAAAGAAAAACTTCCTCATTAATCATTTGGTTAACATGACATCTAATTTGTATAGGAAAGGCAGGATAAGTGGTTTCCTTTTCCCCTTCATTTACCAATTATCAGAATAATGGGTTGCTTCCTTCTCAGCCTCCACAGTCACCAGTGAGACTTTTAGTATCACTCTTTACTCATAAATTTAAACATACTTGATGTGTGTCATCCATTCCAGCTCTCATCCTTGCTGGTGCTCAAAGTTTCCTGTCATTAGCAAGTGGGAGCCTATTCAAGTGGACTCCTGAGACAGTTAAATATGACCTTCATAATCAACAACCTCCTATCTTTCTGGTACAGGAAGATGTTCCAGATTCATCTTGTGGATATTTTGCCCTAGACCTGAAATCAGTCACTTCTCCAAAGTGCCCTGGTTCCTTTTGGTAAGAATGTAATTTATAGATTATAATGTGGATGATTATAGGTACTTAATGCTACTGGCCTAGTCACTATTGCTAAGTCTTTGGGAAGACTTTTGGGAGCTTCTACCTTCCTGCTTTCTAATTGCTTTCCTTCTACATAGGAAACAAAATTTAATCTGTCTTCATACCTTCTTAAATAATTTAGGCTATAGATTATTTCAGTTTCTACCCTACAGAATTCAGAATGAAAACTAAATTGGCACAGTAACACTGTGCCATACTTGCATATATGTCAACACTCCATAGATGACACATGTATATACTGTGTTTTAAGTAGCCAAACTTTTCTTCTCAAAAGTTCAAACTTTAAGGATATAATCTAGAAAACACTGGTTAAATAAAGTATTTTCCCATATATGTAAGAGGATCACCAAAGAAAATACAGTAATCTTTTTTTCTTCTTCAACAATCCTCTCACTGGGCAATTTGGCAACATCTAAAAAATTTAAAATACACAAATTTTTAACCCAGAAATTCTAACTCTGGGAATTTACCCTTCAGATATATTCAAATATGAGTAAGAAAAGATGTCCACCAACCACTATATGACTGTGAAAATCTGCAGACGATCCAAAGATACATCAATAGGGTAACTGGTTAAATACATTACAGTATATCCATACAATGGAACATACTATAGAAAGCAAAATGAATGATGTCTATACATATTCACATGTCACGGTCTCAATGAAATACTGTGAAGTGGAAAAAAATAAGGAATTTGCCTTACATAGTTGTTAAATACATATATATGGCCATAAATATATATATATATACACACACAATCAGTTCAGTTCAGTTGCTCAGTCATGTCCGACTCTTTGCAACCCCGTGAACTGCAGCACGCCAGGCCTCCCTGTCCATCACCAACTCCTGGAACTCACCAAACTCATGCCCATTGAGTCAGTGATGCCATCCATGGTATTTCATAAAAATTCTTTGGCATAAAAATTTTTATATCAAGGTACTAAAAAATAACATATAAAATGATCACATTTTTATAAAACTTGCAGAGAGAGACAGAGAGGAGAGACAACAGATAGAAAAATTGGGGCCCAAAAACCCTTAACAGTAGCTTCATCTTTAAGGAATGATGCTGAAAAGAATGGAAGATGATTTTATATTCTTCTATATGACTGAGTTCTTATTATGTGTTTTTACTTTTAAAAAGTTTTGTACCTTATTTTAATAATTTAAAAAAATTCTAAATGTTTCTTAGAAATATATGATATACACTTGCTGACAAATGACTGAATTAACTGAACTTTGTAGTTTGGTCATGAGAGGGTTTTCAGGGAGAAAAGCCCCTTGGCTGTGACTCACAGCCCGAGGCCGGCTCTCCTAGGCTCCCATTACCTGTGAGTGAGCGCTTGTAGACTCCCTGCAGGATTGCAGCGATGCGGAAGAAGGAGAAAGCCACGTAGAAGTGCCAGTTCTCAGAAGGAGGGATCCCCATGTGAAGACAGTACATCCTGAAATAGTCCTCTGCAGTAGGGATTCCCAGCTCAGTCAAATCACAGCCACTCAACCCTGAAGCGACAGAGCCGGGACTAGGCAATGACCTCATGCTCCCCTGTGGCTCCCAGTAGTTGAATTCTGAAAATCATCCTGTCCCTTGGAAATAAGTTTCACAACTAGTTCAAAGGGTTATAGGTCATCATTTTAAGATGTCTGGAATCCAAGCATGAAGCTGTTATTCATAACCTGGTTCTTAAAAGTTTCAGACTAAACTAGCAGTAAAGGAAGCAATGAGGGGCCTCCAAGTTCCATCTGGACCACAGGCCAGGGTGGATGCATATTATTTTCTATCAGTCATTTGATAAAAAATGGTATACAAAGAAATCTCACTAAATTCTGAAAACGATAACTGCAACAGATAAAAAAATCTTACTGATTTTCTTCATTTGTAACATTTTGATGGTTCAGAAGCATATAATATATTCTGTTCCAAGAACTTATCCTAGGAGTATACCTTATATACAAGCAAAGATATTACTATGCAGATATTCACTGCCCTTTTTGTGGAAGCACAGGGAAGTTAGTAAGAAAAAAAAAAAAAACTGGAAACAAATACCCAAATAGAAATGAAACCAAATGCCTTGAATGAGTTAATTCTTTAACAATGAAATCCTATGCTGTCATTAAAAATGATACTGTAGGAGAAATACTAAATACCTGAATTTCATGAAGCAGCCCAATCACCAACTACTTCAGCTGAGTCTGCCCAAATCTTTGAGAATGGAGGCGGTTCCATCCCCACTCCCCCAGCAGCAGTTCCTACCTGGCTGAATGGGAAAACCAGATGGCAGGTAGTGAGCCAGGCAGTTGTAGGCCACATTGGCAAGGGGGTCGCCTAAGGTAGAAAGTTCCCAGTCCAGGACAGCAACCACCTCGGCAGTTTCCGGATGGAACAGCAGGTTGTCCAGTCTGAAGGAGCCACAAGGAATGGAGACAGCACTAAGAGAACTGGCCACTGGGGAGTGTTCCATGCTGAGTGTTTATTTTGTTGGCCCCTCCAAACACACTTCCCACCCCTCTGTGCCCCATGTGCCCAGAAGCCTGCCAGGGCCGCATCCACCAGCTCCCTTGCCCGCTGGCTCAGCTAATGGGGACAGCAACAGGCAAGAGGAAGGGGGCCTGCATGTTAACTCCCCAGCCCCTTCTCAGCACAAGGCCAAGGCCAGCTGTGCTCCTCTCCCAAGGGCCACAGCCTTGGTGAGGCAGCCCTCGCCACACAGAGGCGGTATCCAGGTTCTGGTAATTCTCCTTCCCTGAGATGGTTTTAAAACAGGTCTGCAATTTTTTGACACTCCTGCCATAAAAGGAAGAGTCTAATCCTTCACCTTTGGAAGCGTCTCACTTCTAACAATTATGATGCAGGTGGAAGTGGTGCCGAGTGACTCCAAAGACAAGGACAGAAAAGGTGATCAGCTCCCACCTGGCTCTCTCCCCTCAGAATACACACCTTTGCAGCCCTGAGCTACCAGGTAAGAAGTCAAACTACCCAGAAGATGCTCTACTGGAGAGCACGTGTGTGTGCAGTTGCTCAGTCGTGTCTGCCTCTTTACGACTCCATGGACTGTAGCCCACCAGGCTCCTCTGTCCATAAAATATCCCAGGCAAGAGTACTTAATGGGTTACCATTTCCTCCTCTAGGACATCTTCCCAACTCAGGGACTGAACCCACATCTCCTGCATTTCCTGCACTGGCGGGGAGATTCTTTACCACTGAGTCACCTGGGAAGCCCCATCCTGAAGAGACTAGTTGAGAAACCATAGATATACAGAGAGAGATTCAGGGAGCCCAGCTCTCCTCCGCCCCCGTGCAGATGTGTGAGTGAGCCATCAGGCGGTTTCAGCCCCTCCCTGGCCTTAAGGTCACTCCGACAAGCCATCTTGTCCCCAGACTGTAGACTCATGAGTAAATTCACTGCTGTGGCTGTTGACGGCGAGGCTTTGGAGGTGTGTGTCCTGCAGTAGTTACAACTGGAGCCTGTGCTTGCGCCTTAGGACCTGGGGGTGGTACTAACTCTTGCTGTGGCAAAGGCCCCAAATGTCAATAGTGTCAAAGCTGACAAACCCTTCCTTAAAGGCCACGCACAGGGAGATAATTGTGCATGGCTAGTTGTCAGCAGTAAACTGGGGGAAGACCAGCTGCTTCTTTCCCCTTCAAATGCCCTTCCCATCTCTTTCCACATCTAAGTATCAGCCCTCCTCATGCCAAGTAGACCTGAAGTCCCCGTGCACCACTGTGGTCCGCCGCTGCCTGGGAAGGTGGAGGGGCAGCCACTCGATGAGCCTCTCCATTGCTGGAATGGTGCTGGTTTCTGAGGCTCGATACTGCTTGGTCCATATCTGCACCTGACGTGCAATATAGTCCCCTGAGGGAAAGAAGATTAGAATATGGTGTGCCATTTCAACAAACTCCAAAGGTTTCAGAAATCAACCACTGCGTGAAACCCTTTGTAATGTCTGAGGCATCTTCATCCCATGACTGGAGAATTTTCCACTTGATGCTCCTGCTCCCTCAACTTGGAAGCCACTGCTATTTTGTTTTGGCTGGATCTGTGTGATTTGGGCATTGTTCCCAGCCACACAGCCCTCTGGGCCTGATCTCTGGCCCTCTCAGAGATGCTATAAGCTTCCTAACAGCCTTTAATAAATCCTTTCTTAGCTAGAGGACAGTGCTTGGCTAAGAGCACGGACACTGGGATAGATAGTCTGAGTTTGGTTCCCAGCCCTGCCATTCTCTGTGTGGTCTCAGGTAGGTTACTTTATGTCTCCATCCCCTTGTTCCTCATCAGTGAGGTGGCCCTCATTAGAGTTGTTGGGAGGATAAAATATGTAAGGGCCCTGCAACTGTTCTTGGCATGTAGTAAGTAATACATGAGCATTTGCTATTATTCGGTTGTTTATTAAGAAACCCAGAGTTACCGCAGTTGAGGAACTTGCAAGTTATGGGACCATAGACTAGAAGCAAGTTCTGGAGTTACCTGGCTCACAGTTAAGCTTTTCAAATGATTTAACATTTCTAAACCTCCATTGCTTCATCCGTACAATCGGTGTACTGATACCTATATTCCCTAGGACCGTTGTGAAGGACAAATGAAATCCATATGTAACATGCCAAACACAGAAGGCTGCTCAATGAATAATGGCCATTATTACTGTCACCGTCATTGCTGTCAAATGACAATTATTGTCGCTATTAATAATAAACAACATACCAGGTCCATGCTCTAAGTCAAGCCCTCACCCCTCATCTGAGAAAAAAATGTTTCCCAGGAGCTTGAGGACAACAATAGAGAGACTGGGCTCCTTCCATGGAGTCAACTGCACACTTGGAGCATCCATTCACCTGTCATTAGAATGAACCAGCAGAGCTGTAAGAGGGGTGATCAAAACCCAAGAAATTCAACCCAAACCAAATCAAGCCTTGAGAACTAACTTTCAGTTTTCAGAATTATAGCAAAACCAGCAGTAAATGAAACCATAATCAAAATAAATCTATTATACACTTACCTGGTAGCTTTAAAAACTCATTTAAAAAAATTGGTGAGGGGGTTTTTCTAGACTCCAATCAGATCCTGATTTGGAAAACAAAACCCAAAAAAACTTGCTTATAAAAGGTACAAGAGAAAAAAAAAAGGTACAAGAGGAATAATGAGGAAATCGAATATGGACTAGATCTTAGATATACTGAGAAAATGGTAAATTTTCTTGGATGTGATAATGGTGCTGGGGGATGCTCTTATTATTAGGAAATGCATACTGAAGCACTTAGGAGTCAAGTGTCAGGGTCTCTTAATCATGCAGATAGATAAATACAGAAAGAGATAAATGAATATGGCCAAAGTTAGTCATTCTTAAAATCAGTCACGGGATATAGTTATTCACAGCACTACCGAATGTTTCTGTAAGTTTGAAAATTATCATAAGAAATCAAATACTAAAGCCTCCAGGAGCTGAACTTTTATTGAAGGAGCCCCTCAGGTTAATCTACGTGGATTTAGGATGTCCCCCGTCCCCCATGAATACACCCCAGTGCTGCGCACACTCCCTTCTCGTGGGAAGCATGTACTGCTGTCCCTGTGTTTCTGCTCTGTTGGCCACTGGCCTCAAGCAGGTCCGCCAAGGCACAAACACCCTTCCTCCCCAAAGCAGCCTGCCCTCTGGGATGAAAAAAGGGAATTATGCTCTCTGCAGGTCCTTGGTGGAAAGTTTCTTTGTGGTAACTTGATTGGACCTAAAGGGATCTTTGTCAAAGTTCATTTTCATCAGAAATCATGTTTATGTGCTTTTCCCTTACAAATTTATATTTGTTCTCTTCAATAAGTCATATATTCACCTGGTTCAAAATTTAAGTGACAAAAAGGTGTACAATAAATCCCCAATCCCCTGCCCAGCCACTCAGCCCTTTTTCCCCAAAGGTAAACCATGTGACCAATTTCTTAGGCCTCCTCTTGGGGATATTCTTCACATGTGCAAATAAATTAAATTTATTTAAATGTACCAATTTTACACAAATGGTGTATTAGCTATACACACACTGAACAAAAACCACTGCAATGTTGTAAAGTAATTAGCCTCCAACTAATAAAAATAAATGGAAAAAAGAAAAAGAAATTACAGGATACTTGAAAAGAATACCTGATGGCCCTGTAGCTGGACCAGTGAATGTGAAATCTGAGGAAGCTGCTTTATGTAATAACCCTCAAGACATAGCCAGCAGTCTAGGAGCCTGACCCTAAGTTATATAAAATCAGACCAGATTTCTGCTTCGTCTCTTTGTCAACCTAATAGGTCAGTGGAAAGTATATCAGAATGGCCCACTTTAAAACTAAAAGGCAAAGGACCCACTCAGTGCATAGAAGAGCCCTCCTTAAGCTGTCCTCTCTTCACTGTACAATGGGATGTCACACCACCCACGGATTCATGTGACAGTGGCTTTGTCCATTCACAGCACTGGAACAGGTGCCATCTCCTTTGCTTTTCATATCAGCGCTCTGAGGGGGGCAGGGCAGGGCTTTTTTACTCAACCTCTATTCTTGAGAAAACTATGACAAAGTAATGGGGCTTGCCCAAGGTCAGCCCACAAATCAGCACCTAACTTCTGTTCCAGGGCTCTTTCCATCCTGAAACAACATATCAATATAGGCAACATCTGTTGTCTTTGCCTACTGGCCCTTTTACTAGTAACTAGGGCTCCAGATGAAATATAGGATGCTCAGTTAAGTTGAAATTTTGGATCAGTTCAGTTCAGTCATTCAGTCGTGTTCAGCTCTTTGCGACCCCATGAACCGCAGCACGCCAGGCCTCCCTGTCCATCACCAACTCCCGGAGTTTACCCAAACTCATGTCCATTGAGCTGGTGATGCCATACAACCATCTCATCCTCTGTCGTCCCCTTCTCCTGCTCTTAATCTTTCCTAGCATCAGGGTCTTTTCAAATGAGTCAGCTCTTTGCATCAGGTGGCCAAAGTATTGGAGTTTCAGCTTCAACATCAGTCCTTCCAATGAACACTCAGGACAGATCTCCTTTAGGATGGACTGGTTGGATCTTCTTGCAGTCCAAGGGACTCTCAAGAATCTTTTCCAACACCACAGTTCAAAATTTTGGATAGACAACAAATAATATAAATATCTTCCAGTGAGACCACCAAGATGGAGGGGAACCCCACTAAATTGCTAATTCTGGTCAAAAATTAGTATTTGATACAGATCTGGCTACAAGTGGAAAGGGTAGAGAACTCCCTCTATTGTGACTGGGAAGTCAGCAAGCCTCCTATGTGGTAGCAAAGTTTCTCAAATGGTTAGTTTTGAGGCCTCACATCATGTCCCTACAGAGTGACAGAATTTTAGGAAACTTGGTAAAAATATGTCAGGAAGTTGATGTACACTGGATACATACTGCAGCATTTGGTACAGTCCTAAAGGAATAGGCATGCTTTAGTTAAAAGCAGAGAAAGAACAAAATACAGCTTACTGAGATTCTTTTTAACCACGGTCAGGAATGCATTGAGAGTCAGATAATTTTGAATGCTGCAGGGCAAAGTGAAACTCTGTGGCTCATGCTAAAGTATCTGCATGCAAAAGCATGGAGACAGTTGTGATGGTGGTTATAAAGCTGTGTGCATTTGTCAAAATTCATAAAATGCTACCTTTCAATACAACTGACTTCCAAAAAAAAAGGAAAAGGGAAATCCTGACAACACAAAGTACTTACAAGGATGAGTAACAACTGGAGCTCTCAGACAATTTAAAAAATAAAATAAAGAAAAGAGCAGCAACAAATTATATAACAAATACCTTGGTACAATGGCGCTAAAAAAAAATTTACCCCTGTTGAAAAGAATATTTAGAGGAAATGGTAAAAAAAAAAAAATGGAGAAGAAAATACATATCTTAAGTACTTTTGGCCAGTCAGTATCAGAAAAAAAGAAAGATTTAAATAATACAGTGAGATAAAATCTGCAGGGAAAAGAGATTCTATAGTCCATGGAGGGATTTATCTCAGGAAAAAACATCTAGGTAAACAACATCTGCACTAAAATGAAAGTGGATTTTCAACTAGGAAGCTAACAAGCCCACCTCACATTTACCAATGGTGCCTTAAAATCCTGGCACAATGGAAATCCAGAAAGCAGAGGACCAGTGAGGAAACATCAGCACAGAAGACAAGGGGCCCCGTGCTCACCGTGTTTCCCATAGTCTTCCAGACCTGCAGCCTTGAGGTCCACACTGTGAATCTTGCACAAGACTCTGTTCATGGCAGTGTAGATGGCCCGCCTCTGGCTGGGCTCCAAGCCTGGTAGAGAGGGGTCTTTGTAGATGAGGCCTGGGCAGTATTCCATCAGATAGAAAGGGGTACCAACGATACTGGGAGGGACACAAACAGGGTGTTTCAGTGGCCTGTGCTGTGGCAGGCTGTTAGTTAGGGCACTGCTCTGTCCTGTGTGTAAGCTGTAAGTGCTGGGTGGGAGTTCAGACTCAGAGTACTGGAAACTTCCTTTTTCCTCTGCATAGAAGTGGAAGTTAGAAGTACTCTTTCCCCAGACTAAGCCACACATAAACATCCCTGTCTACACTTCCTTGCCAGCATGCCTCTCTTCTCTTTGGAATCTACTCGGAATGGGATTGTCATAATACAGGAAAGCAGCATGTTGGGTCTGGAGTCACACAGAACCAGGCTTAAGTCCCACCTCTGCCCTTCCTAGAACTCTGATCCTGAGGAACATATTAAACCTCTCTGAGCTTTGTTTTTACTAAATCTATAAAGCTTCAAAGAATAGCTATAAGAATTAAGGGAGCAATATATAGGGAATGCCTGGCATATGTGTCTGGTTCCATGAGGGTTCGATAAATATCCCTTCTTGTTGTTGATGTTATTTTCATCATTATTCAGTGAAATGAATGACATATACAACACCCCAAAGTATTAAGGTGACACACCAAAATGTCATTAATCAATCTTTTTGTCCTACTAGAAATCAGTTTAGTACTCTGAAAAGTTGTTTTGAAAATTCTGTTATAAATATTCATCCTGACTTGAAAATTTAAATTATTTTTAGTTTAAGTGTAATACTGCTGCTGGAGTTATGAAAGAACATGTCTTTATTCTTAGGAGATATATGCTGTCTGCAACTTACTTCAAAAGGTTCAGTGAATAATAATTACATACATATGAAATATACTTCTTTATAAAACAATTATATAATTATCAAAACAGTAAATTAGGAAATGTTTATATAATTATTAACAATTTCTATAAAATTATTTTGTCTATATCATACACTTACATACACACACACACACACACACACACACACATATATACACACAGAAAGCAAATGTGGCAAAATGTTAACAAATGTTTTCATCTAGATGAAGTGTAAATGGGTGCTCACTGTACTGTTTTTTCCTCTTTCAACTTCTGTGCATGTTTCAAATTTTTCATAATTAAAAAATCAGGAAAAAAGAGACTCAGAAAGTATATTATAATGCAATTCAAAAACAGTTTAGAAAGCCCCCAATAAAAAAATTAATTAAAACAAACAACATGAAGCTAGATGGACATATGCTCTTTAAATGTTAGAAAAGATGTTTCCTACCAATTCTCACAAAAGCAGGCATTTATCTTTCAGGATAACTTAAACCACTCTAGGGGAGGTTGCTATAAAATCTCTTTTCTACTCTAATTTTACTTGTCTTTACTCTAGCAAACTAGATTTAAGTTAATATATGGACTTTTCTGTAGCTTGAATATAACAATGGAAAAAATAAATATGAACATTACCTTGAGTCTTCACAAAGGTCAAGAACTTTGGGGACAGGGACTCCAGCATTTGCAAGGGCTTTCATTATCCTGACAGAACAAAGATGAGAGACACTGCTGAATGAGGTGATCAGATTTTCTTGAAATTATTTTTTTATTTTAAAATGGTACATGAAAAAATCAAAATGGAAGATACGTTCGTGAGGTTACTCCTTTCTGCCTGTGAATGCCACCGAGAAAGCATCGTTGAAGACTTCCCCACCTCCACTGCCGTCATGTCTAAATCAGAGTCTCCCAAAGAGCCCGAACAGCTGTGGAAGCTCTTCATCAGAGAATTGAGCTTTGAAACAACTGATGAGAGTCTGAGGAACCATTCTGAGCAATGGGGAACGCTCACAGACTGTGTGGTAATGAGGGATCCAAACACCAAGTGCTCCAGAGGCTTCGGGTTTGTCACATACGCCACGGTGGAGGAGGTGGATGCGGCCATGAATGCAAGGCCACAAAAGGTGGACAGAAGAGTTGTGGAACCAAAGAGAGCCGTGTCAAGAGAAGATTCTCAAAGACCTGGGGCCCACTTAACTGTGAAAAAGATTTTTGTTGGTGGCATTAAAGAAGACACTGAAGAACATCACCTGAGAGATTATTTTGAACAGTATGGAAAAATTGAAGTAAACAGCTATGGCAGTGGCAGAAGGTTTTAATTACTGCCAGGAAACAAAGCTTAGCAGGAGAGGAGAGCCAGAGAAGTGACAGGGAAGCTACAGGTTACAACAGATTTGTGAACTCAGCAAAGCACAGTGGTGGCAGGGCCTAGCTGCTACAAAGAAGACATGTTTTAGACAATACTCATGTGTATGGGCAAAAAACTCGAGGAATGTACTTGTGACTAATTGTATAACAGGTTATTTTAGTTTCTGTTCTGTGGAAAGTGTAAAGCATTCCAACAAAGGGTTTTAATGTAGATTTTTTTTTTTTGCACCCATGCTGTTGATTGCTAAATGTAATAGTCTGATCATGATGCTGAATAAATGTCTTTTTTTTTTAAAAAAAAAAAGAAAAAATCAAAATGGAATGCTAAACTTTAAAAATTTCAATTGACCCAAGAAGGCAAAAAGGCAAGGAGAACAAAAGAGAAACGGGACAAAGCTCTAATAGGAAAATCATAGACCTGAGTCAAATATATTGATAATTACATTAAATTTAATAGTGTAAACATTTCAACTAAAAGACAAAAATTGTCCTACTGAATACAAAAGCAAGACTTAATATGCTTTAACTATAAAAACATAGAAAAAATAAAATATGAAAGGATGGAAAGAGAAGTTCCATGAAATTGGTGAGCATAAGAAAGCTGATGTAACTATATTAATATCAGAAAAAGAGACTTAAGACAAAGAGAACTACTAGAGATAAAGAGGGACATTTCAGAACAATACAAGAGTTAATTCACCAGGAAGATATTATAATCATAAATGTATATGTGCCTTAAACAACAAGGCCCTACTGTATAGCACAGGGAACTCTATTCAATATCCTGTGACAAACCACAATGGAAAAGAATAGGCAAAACAATATATATATGTATGACTGAGTCACTCTGCTATATAGCAGAAATTAAACATAACATTAAATCAAATATACCTCAATTAAAAAAATAAAAAAACATAAATGTGTATGTGCCTAATAACAGAGCTTTAAAATACCTAAAGTAAAAATTTCATTATTAAAGACAGAAATGGACAAACTGACAATCATAACTGAGACTGTAGAATGCCTTTATCATTAACTGACTTTATCAGACTAACTAGAAGTAGTAAGATAAGAACAACACTACCAACCAACGTGATCTGATGGACAGTTCTGTAACACTCACACAACATCCACAGGATGTACGTTCTTCATGAGTGCACACAGTACAGTCACCAAGATTTATCATGGAGTGGTCCATAAAATAAGTCCTAAAAGTTTCCAAGTATTAAAATCTTAGTATTTCCAAGACCTTAATGGAATTAAGTATTAAGTGTTAGTCGCTCAGTCATGCCCGACTCATTGCGACCCCATGGACTGCAGCCCATCAGGCTCCTCTGTCCATGAGATTTTCCAGGCAAGGATACTGGAATGGGTTGCCATTTCCTTCTCCATGGGATCTTCCCAACCCACAGATCAAACCCGGGTCTCCTGCACTGCAGGCAGATTCTTTACCAACTGAGCTACATTCCTTGACAATGGAATTAAAGGAACATTAAAAAACATTTAAAAACTGTAATAATAATAACAATACATGTCAAAACTTGTGGGATGCAGATGTGCTTAGCAAGTGATTCATAACTTTGAAAGCTCATGTTAGGAAAGAAGGAAAATGTAAATCATTTACATTTACAAAATGTAAGGTTATAGCTAAGAAGGTAAAAATACATCCACAGTAAGCAGATGGAAAGTAATAAAGCTCAGAGGAAAACTAAATGAAATAGAAAATAAACAGAAAAATTAATAGAACTAAGAATTTCTACTCTTCAACACAACGATAAATCCTTAAGTAGACTGATGAAAGAGAGAGAGAAAATACAAATTATCAGTCAATTGCAGGAATCGTAAAGAGGGGACATCACTAGAAATCCTACATACATTAAAAGGACAGTAAGGGAATATTTTGAACAATAAATTTAATTGTTCATATGAAGTGGACATATATAATTTTATATATATTTATAACATAATTTTATATATTTTAAAATATAAATGGACAAATTCCTTGGAAATTACAACTTCCAAAGCTAAGGTAAGATGAAATAAGAGACCTAAATAATCCAAAATTTATTGAATTGAACCCATAAGCAAAAACCTTTTCCTAAAAAAACTCCAGGCCCAGATGAGTTTACCAGTAAATTTTATGAAACATGTGAGGAAGACATTTTTTTAAATAGAAAAATAATTAGTCTTATCACCAATAACTGACTCTCCTGCTTTTGCCTGCCTGATGTCCTTTTCCCTTTTCATGTTCTAATATTAATACCTTAGACATTCCTTTGGGAAACAACTCTCCCCAGCTGCAGTTCACATGCTTTGGGTGACAGTGATTCAACCCTGATTTCAGGGTTGAGCACATGACCCAGATTTGGCCAATCTGAACAATGCATCCTCCTAACCACAGAGACTGGTTCAGGAACAAACTTGTGACCCATATTAGGCCAGTAAGTCAAACTCAGGAAGTATCCTACAGTGTTCACTCAGGTTATCAAGGAAACAAGTGTTGAGAGATGGAGAGAGAGAACAAATGGGTCCTGGTGACATTATTTGGGCCCTTGGATCCAGCCATACCTGAAAGATTTAGATAATGAAGTCAATAAATTTTACCACTTCTCCTTTATTTTTTTGAATACTTAAATCAGGCTAGGTGGGTTTCTGTCATTTAACAATTTGTACTGACAAACTACCCAAACGTGATAACAGTAAATTTTTTGGTGTGTTCCTTTCCAATATTTTTGTTTCAATGTATGCTGCTGCTGCTAAATCACTTCAGTCGTGTCAGACTCTGTGAGACCCCATAGACGGCAGCCCACCAGGCTCCCCCGTCCCTGGGATTCTCCAGGCAAGAACACTGGAGTGGGTTGCCATTTCCTTCTCCAATGCATGAAAGTGAAAAGTGAAAGTGAAGTTGCTCAGTCATGTCTGACTCTTAGCGACCCCACAGACTGCAGCCTACCAGGCTCCTCTGTCCATGGGATTTTCCAGGCAAGAGTACTGGAGTGGGGTGCCATTGCCTTCTCCTAATGTTTCAATGTATAAGTCTTCACAAAAAAAAAAAACCAAACAAACAGTTAAGACATATATAGTTTGTATCTGTTTTGCTACATTAAGATTTTATCATATACATTTTATTACAGGCATCCTTTTATGGGCAGCAATCACAGTATAATCATTAAGACTGGGCTATGGAATCCTACCACCCCTGGGTGTAAAGACAGGCTCCATCCCTCACATACTAGTTATATATCACTAGGCATGTTGCTCAGTTTTTTTAAGCTTCATTTTTCTATAAAACAGGGGCCATAATAGGACCATATCAGGGGGTTGCTGAGAATTATCTGAATTAACAATACATTCAAAGCATGTATTATAGTGCCTGACACATACTGAACACTCAGTAAGTATTAGCTATTACTATTATTGTTCCAACAAATAGAAATACCAAGGTTTGCAAAATCATTTCTTGATTACTGCATCTATAGGTTATTTCCATTTTTTTATTATAAATGACACTGCAGTCAGCATATTAATGCATAAAGGTTTTCTCCCTATTTAGAACTATTTTTTAAAGACAGATCCTCTATTGGGATTATTAGGTATAAAAATATGACCACCCTGAGGTTTTTACAAATTTGTTATACTGTTTTCCCAGTTTTCCAAATTTGATTTGGCATTTTATAAGCAGATACATGTTTCATCTTCAAGTGCACATTTTATTCCTTTACTAAAATGGAAATTCTGTGCATTTTGGATTTTTGGATGTCCTTCGAACAGTCCAGAATTCCTCAGAACACTGGGAAGTTGGAGAGAGTCCCCAAGCAGAATGCATACATAGTTGTAGTTCCACATTTCAGGGTTTTGCTTCTGTAAGCACATTCTATCACATGGGCACATATATAAATATAAATGCTCACACATAGCTATAGGACTTCTGCGGGCTTTCACAAATGAAACCCAAAGGCTTCATAAATGTCAGTCATCAGTAGCTGTAATACAGAGAGTCAGACATAAGGAACCAAAAAATCAGAGGAGAAACAGTAAATAATGAGAAAGAGGCCAAGAGCTAAAATCACATTTTCCTGACTACTCGCTGCAACCTTCCTTCTGGAGAACATGATAGGCTGGAAGGAAGGTGGAGGAGGAGGCAGAGAAAATTTTCTAGGAGAGGAAGCTCCACTCTGGAGCCTAGTCATCACACCACCACTCACTGTCCAAGGGTTTGGAGCTAGGTTTTTCAACCTACTATGTTTTGTTTTGTTTAATATTTATTTTGACTGTGCTAGGTCTCCATTGCTGTGCACAGGCTTTCTCTAGTTGCAGAGAGTGGGTGCTACTCTCTAGTGTGGTGTGCATGCAGGCTTCTCATTGTGGGGGCTTCCCTAATGGAGCACCGGCTCGAGAGTGCTCAGGCTTCAATAGTTGCAGCTCCTGGGCTCCAGAGAGTAGCCTCAGTAGCTGTGGCCCCAGGCTTAGTTGCTCCGAGGCATGTGGGATCTGCCCAGACCAGGGATCAAACTGGTGTCCCCTAACCAGTGCTCCCGCATTGCAAGGGAGATTATTGTCCACTGGACCACCAGGGAAGCCTCAACCTACTATGTTTAAGTTTTCCTATTTGTGAAGCAAGAGATTTTACTTGGGATGGGTTATAACACATTTATTGTTTTAAACATCTTATTATGAAAAATATCAAACATATACAGAAGTAGAAAGATTCATACAAGGAATCCCAGGTTTCAACAACTATCAACTCAACTCTTTGGGCAATAGCCCCATTTAGTAGAATCTCAAAAAGTCTTATTTCCTCCAAGTTTAGTTAGAGAAAACAAGCTCCTAAAATTAGGGGACATGTTCTTATCTGAAATAATCTTGGAGCATCATACTTAAAATTTTAAATGTCTCAAGGCACTATGATGGGGTGCTGACTTGCCAGCCCAGGGTTGGGGCTGTGGAGGCTGGGGACAGTGAGCACAACCCTCACTCTAAGAATTTACCTGAACTCCCTCTCTACTGCATGCGCGGATGGAAGGAGCGTCCCGGGGGGTTTCTTCCTCAGAACCAGCTGATGGTTAGCCAGCTTGACGTAGTAGGTGGGATTTGACTGCCCGTGATCAAACTGAAGGAGTTCCAATGGGCCTGTAAGTTTGGAAGCAAGGAAAACTCAAACCAGCTCTGGAGGACAGATGTGGACAGAGATTCTTTCTTTCTAATGAGTACTGCACATGGACAAAGAGCATCCTGATTTGGAATGCACTGTAAGGAAAGCATCTCCTCCCTGGGTGCCAGACATGACTGGGTCAAATCTCCAATGTCACATTATAATGTAGCAAAGGCCGCTGAATTTACATCACAACAATTTTCACTTTGTGCAGGTGTCCAGTTTTGTCCTTCCTGCCTATTTCTGCTCCATGAAAAAAGCCTTATAGTTCTGTTTATCAACCACAAGCACAGTCATGGCAACCCATCTTGCCAACTGGAATGCTTTAAGCCAAGGACAAAAGGTGCCCTGTGTGTCCCTCACGCCATGCTCGGGCACATCACATCCGATACAAGTGTGACAGCGGAAAGCAGCTATGAGAGGCCTGCTTTCAGGGGATGCAATTTCCCATTCCATCAAGCTAAACTGTGAGGCTCCCTTGCAGAAATAGTTTATATAGGGACTCTGCACTTCCGCTCCAGTATTCTTGCCTGAAGAATCCCCATGGACAGAGGAGCCTGGCGGGCTACAGGCCATAGGGTCACAGAGTCCGACATGAGCGAGCGACCAAGCACAGCCAGCACAGCACTTCCACTGCAGGGGGTGCCGGAGGGGAAACTAAGATCCCACAGTCAGGAAGCCAAAACAAAACAGCAACAAAAAGAAACAGCCTAATTAACCCTGGTCTTGTCAATGAGATGAACTTGACACATAAGATTCATTTCACTTGATCAGAAGAACAGGCAGTGGGAGTTTGCCTGAGTTGCCTGGTCTGGTCAGAAAGGCTCCCTCAACTTTGTAAAGGCTCTACAACAATCCATCAAGGGAAAAAATTCCTCACATGAAGCTGCATACAAAGAGTACTTTCAAGGATCAGACTTTATCACCAGGTAAAAATTTCTTCAAAGGTTCATGAAACTATAATAAAAAAAATTTTTTTTTTAAAAAAAGGTATTGAAGCACCTGTTTTTCTGAGGGTGGAATATGAAAAAGAAGAGAGGGACCTTTGAAAGATGAAGACAAATTGTCTCATTTTAAACTCATGCGACTTTTTAAGTCACCTTCACAAAACAGGCTGTCATCTCAAAAATGCCAGAAAGACCCAAACACCCTAGGCACATACTGCAGGTTCTTCTCCCCTGGGACAGCCGTTTGCAGGTGACTGCTGCCACGCCATGGTCTCACGTGGAACAAGGGCCAAGTACACTCTGGCACCCATAGAAAAGGAGGTCAGTGCTTTTTCCCAAGCAAAACAGAGCAGCACCCGGGTCTGCAGGGCCACCTGGCTACTTTCTTTACCACATGGCATCTTTATCTCCAGCATATTCCACTAGAAGAGAAAGGGAGAGCCAGACTGAAAGCCTAGCCTCTACCAAAATGCAGAAACTTAACTACCTGTGGGTTGGGTTCCCAGTAAGTCTTTGAGGTACTTCTCCAAAGCGTCTTTGGGAATTTCCATTGTCTTTCTCACAGGGCGAGTGTTTGGAACAGCCATTCTCAATGGAAATCCCAAAAGAGTTTCCAATTCCTTTACTGCAGTCTCTGGGTCATCAACCTGGTTTCAAACAGAATATTGAGCATGGATCCCCAGACAACCCTGACCTCTCCTCCTACCTGTTCTCTAAGAGGGTACATTTGAAGAGGAAAATATAAACAAAAGCCAGTTCTCTAAGCAAGGACTTTGGAGCCAGCATAATCAGCTCATGAAAAAGCCTCAGAATGACTTTCCTCCCCCCATTTAATTCCTAACCACATTAAACTCTTTTATCTGCTGAAGAGAGTGCCAGTTAAAAGTTCATTAATACTCCCTTGTGCCAGGAGGGCAAAATATTGTACTGGAGTATCCATTCTGCCCCTATAGGCCCATCAGCTAATAATGAAAACCTAAACGTAGAAAGCTGAACAGAGACCACCACCCCCTCCCTCAACACACACACACATGGCTTCTCCTGTTTCAAAGCACTGAGGTGGTCCAAGTGGCTGGTAATTGAACAGCATCAACAGGCCAGCAGGACTGTCACCTAAACTGTCTTAAGCCTGCCATTCACCTCCCTGTGTAACTCTTTTCTCAAAATGCCTTCTTACTTCCTACTGAAAATACAAGCTGCTAGTCAACTAGACCTCATAATTAAAAAAAAAAGACTGGCAGCAAGGGCAAAAACCACCAGAGGCAACTCCAACTCTGAGTGTAAGAGGACTGCAAAGAAATACTTAACACTAGTGTCTGAAGCACAAGGGGTTCAAAAACAGTGACCATTACCTTAATGGTGTGAATACCAAGGCTGGCAGCTGCTTTTAGATTTGGTCCAAGATCATCAAGAAAGATGGACTCAGAAGGCTGCCGGCCGAGCCTCTCCAAGCACAGTTTGTATATCCTGGGGTCTGGCTTGCAGACACCTTCCAGGCAGGATTCCACGACCTGAGGGAGAGGCAGGAAGGAGAGATTAACATCCCTAAAAGTGGTGTTCCCATGTTATACCCTGGTATGTTTTTTCGAAAGAAGACAAGAGGGACAGTGGAGATTTGTCATAACAAGTAACTTAAGAGTGTCATAATATAAAATCATGTTGCTTTTTTAAGTGGAGTGACTTGGATATACTCATCAGGAAATTGGAAACACTGATAGCCATCTTACCCATCTTAACTGTAGTTGGGAAACTTAGTGAAACTGGAAGGTGTTCCAAAATGACACAGCATTCTGTTCATGTTAGGTATTGTGGCTGCATGGAACAGAAGAAAAGCTGCACATTTCAGTTTTAGGGTAAGTATTTCACCATGTTTTCAGAAAGAAAGGCAGTATTTACAGTTTTAAAAGAAACATGACTTTAATATCCATATTTCAGAAGTGAAAAAACGAAGAGCTATATTCAACCTAGACAGGACTGACACCAAAGATAGTCAGTGGCCAAGATAGGTTTCATGCAAAGAGCCTCCTCCATCCTGACAGCCTTGCCTCAAACTCTATCTAGTCCAGAACTGGTGAGGGGCATCTGAGGGTTCAGGAGAACCCTGAAAAGCTGTCTCAGTGTCAGGTTACCTCTGATCCAGCAACCCCCTTTAAGTCCTCTGACATTGACCCCAGGGCTTAATCTCCTGTGAGTAGGTCTAAAACAGCCATAGAGGCCTGTAACCAATACCCTCTGGTCTGTCCTAAGAATAGAACTAAATCCCTCACTCACTCCTGAATTGACCCTTGCTCTCCAAGATCAAGGACACCCCTGAGGGCCCCTCCCTCTCCTCCAAATTCCCACTGTTCAAGGTTGGAGGAGAACTGCTCTTTCAGGTAAATAAATGTTGAGTAACTTACTCTTACTTATTCTTCCCAGTCTCCTAAGGACCTGAATGAGCTAAAAGAAAACAGAAATTCCTTCTGAAGAAAACATCAACAGTGGGTAGTGGAGAAGCCAGGTGTTTCAGACACCAATGAAGGCATCACGTGACAGGAAAGCAGCACATCTGGACAGCCGAGACAAGAGGTGAGAGGGGAGGAAACCCTGGGATCTGGGCCACATCTGGCTAGCAGACACCTCCTCTCAGAGGTGATTATATCTGGGAAAGGGAAAAAATTCTTGAGATTTAAATTGGATAACACCCCTGGCCTTTTCCTTGTGTTCTGTTTTACAAGATAAAAAATTTCTGGGGTTCTGTTTTATGAAAATGTGAACACACCTAACATTTTTGTGGTATATAGTAAAAAGCAGCTAGAATGGTAAATCTTAGATCACATGTTCTTTGACAATAAAATATAATGTAAAATTTTTTACTTAAACAAATTAGAGAACCAAAATTTAAAAGCCACATTCACCTCAGCAGAAACAGAGCCCTATAATATTATTGAAAAGTTTAGGAACAGCCTCCAAAGATGATGGGGATCATAGGAATGGTTATATTAGCTTTGCGTGCAAGCTAAGTCACTTCAGTCATGTCCAACTCTTTGTGACCCCATGGACTGTAGCCTGCCAGGCTCCTGTGTCCATGGGGTTCTCCAGGCAAGAATACTGGAGTAGATGCTGTGCCCTCCTCCACGGGATCTGCCTGACCCAGGGATTGAACCCACGTCTCTTATGTCTCCTGCATTGGCGGATGGGTTCTTTACCACTAGCACTATTTGGGAAGCCCAGCTTTACTTCTATCAAAATAAATATTTCTCCTCATAGCTTTAGAGGATAAAAACGTAAACTCTTGCTCTTGAGGAAATATATTTTCAACACTCCAGGTCGCCTATAGACCTAAAATATGAAAATGGATCAGAAAAAGCTGCCTGAAAGCACCCACCAGAGAGTCTGTGAAGTCTGCATAAATGAGTCCATCGTGTTAAAGAAGCTCACAAATCCTTAAACACTTGAAGGGCCCAGTGTGAGCCTGGACAACTTATTTTGTCCAGATTAAGATAATAATCCCCATTGCCGCACTGGAGGGAAGGAATCTCTGAAAATAATCTGCCAGGCACTCTGTAAAGTGCTTTGTATGTATTATAGTCTGGGATCCACACAGCCACCCTAAAGAAAGAAAATTGCTGCTCCTGAACCACAGGTGAGGAAACTGCGGTTCAGGGAATCAGAGCTACTGCCCACAGCAAGCTGAGACAGGATCCAAATATGACTGGGGTCCCTGAGCCCCCAAAGAGGAGGATGTGTGGAGAAAGGCTGTGCTGTGGACAAGCCAGGAAACCAAGAGTCAAAGTGGGTAAGGAGCCAGGCAAGGGTACAGAGGGAAGAGAACTCTTATCTTGACAGGCCCTGTGTAAGGATGAATGAGGAGGTGGGAGGTGACGAGAGCATTAGGCTGGGTGGTTAACTTCCCATATTTGAACTCTGAATTCTGCTCGTCTCTTTCACCAGTTGTGGGTTTTTTTTTTTTTTTTTTGGCCATGCTGCATGGAATGCAGGGTATTAGTTCACTAAACAGGGATCGAACCCGCCCCCTGCAGTGAAAGCAGAGCAGGGGACTGCCAGGGAAGTCCTGATTAGATTTTATGTTCTAAAATATCACTATCCAGTAGAAATTTCTACAATGATAGAAATGCTATATTGCCCTGTCTGACGCAGTAGCCACTAGCCACATGTGGCAGCTGACCACCTGATAATGTGGTGAATGCATGTTCCTGCGGGCAGGACTTGTGTCAGTCTCACTGAATACAGTGGCCCTTCATGCCTAGCCAGCGCCCAGTACACAGCCACTGCTGTGAAAGAATGTGTTTTCTGACTGAAGTTTAAGCTAGTCATCTATCAATAATTCCTATCTGTCCCAGGATAATGATAATATACTTCCTTTGAGGAAAATGGGGAGTCTTTCACAGAAGTAACATCCTGGCATGGAAGACCATCTCCTGACTCACAATCTTCTCAGATACTTTGATAGTCTAGCCCTTCACACACTGTCCCACACGGTGGCCCCTAGTCATATGTGATGGTATACATTTCAGTTGAAATAGAATTTAGTTGCTCAGTGCCACTCATCACATCTCAAGTGTTTAACAGCCATGTGTGTGACTAGTAGCAAACATATTAGACATTTCCTTTCCTGCAGTAAGTTTGTTTGCTCAGCAATGGTCTAAGGATTAATGCCAAAGAAATAGAGGGCAATGGGGTTGGTCTTTGAAAAGCTCAAAGGTGAGGGCTGATCAAAGTACAGATGTTATCTGATGCTGTTGTTGTTGTTGTGTGAGTTCAGTTGTGTGCAACTCTTTTCAACCCCATAAGCTCTAGGCTGCCAGGCTCTCTGTCCACGAAATTTTCCAGGAAAGAATACTGGAATGGGTTGCCATTTCCTACTCCAGGGGCTCTTCCCCACCCAGGGATGGAACCTGCAGCCCTTGTGTCTCCTGCACTGGCAGGCAGATTCTTTACTAACTCTGCCACCTGGGAATCCCTGATATCTGATGACTAAGGTTCAAGTCCAGATGAAAGGAAGTCTCTGAAGCTGAGGTTTCACCCAGTTATCAAAGCCCATAAATAACCTTGCTCACAGCTCAGTGATACTTTGCAAGTCCTCTTTTCCACCTATCATGTCTAATCCTAACTCAGTCAACTGTGTGAATAAACAAACCCATTCAAGACCTGCTAAGAGGCAGCGTTAGTGCTGCATCCTAAAGTAAGGACAGAGACTTGATTCAGATTGTTCTGGATCCCTGTCAGCTTACCACATCAAACTGTTTCCGGTCCAAGGGCAAAAAGCTCTTCCCATTGGGAAGATAAAAATTATTGCTCAAGACTGCAGTCTGAAGCCCTTTAGCCCGAATCTGAGTTATGGCCTCAGTCATCACTGGAAACTGCTTCGTCACTCGGTCACTGGTCAGCAGAGAGAAAAAGGAGTCCACAGGCACGGAGGTCTTTGACTAAGATTGAAGGTAGGGAGAGAAGAGAACCAGCCATCATTAAAAGTAAGAACAGCTTATCACCAACACAGAAAAACACAGATTCCAGGCTTCCTGCCACTACCCCAGGCCTCTGGCTTGCTGCCAAAAGGAATTTTCTCTTTCAGCCCTGGTGCAGAACGTTGCATATAAGGTTGTAAAAAGTTGCTTAGAATTAGAATTACAGTGGTTAGGGAATGGAGCAATTTATATCAATATTCAAGTTAAATGAATTCTTTATTTCACTCATTCATTGTCAATTTCAAAAAGATTCTGAAGACTCTAAGAGGATACATGAAACCCTAAAAGTGAATTAAGCAGATGTAATTTAATTTTTCACAAAGGCTCCTCTGTCCATAGGATTTTCCAGGCAAGAGTACTGTAATGGGTTGCCATTTCCTTCTCCAAGAGATCTTCCCGACCCAGGGATCGAACCTCGGTCTCCCGCATTGTAACAGACGCTTTACCATCTGAGCCACCAGGGAAGAGCACAATTTAATTTTTAATGACCCAGAGATTTGATGATTCTGCATTGTCTCAGCTTCAGCATGACAAACGGAATGTCAGTTTCTGATCAATTTTTGTGATTTTAAATTCCGTCTCTGTGGGTTTTAAAACCTCTTATTTTATCATGCTTCAAAGTTTGCAATGGCAAGCCTGCTATTTTATACACACACACACTCATTTTACAACAGCTTTATTGAAATACAATTCATATATCACACAAGTGGCCCATTTAAGCTGTAAAATTCAGTGCTTCTTAATATATTCACAAAGGTGTACAACCCTTAAGACAATCAGTTTTAGAACATTTATGTCACCCAAAAAAGAAACATCATACCTATAAGCAGTCACTACCCATTCCTCTGCCTCCCTGCCCCCGATTTCCCAATACTCCCAGTCCTAGAAAATAACAACTCTATTTCTACCTCTATAGATTTATCTGTTCTGGGTATTTCATATAAGTGGAATCGTACAATACGTAGTCTTTGGGGCTGGCTTTCTATGACCTAGCAGAATGTTTTATACATATATATATATATATATATATGTGTATATATATATATATATAAATATTTATTCATTTACTTAAAATTGTGGTAAGACCACATAACATCATATTCACTGTTTTAACCACTATGGATAACATTAAGTACATTCATTGTTATCTAACCAAAACCAACATCCATCCACAGAACTTCACTATATTTAAAATTATATTTTAGCAATTATATTGTGAAGGTATTGGAGTTAATATAAACAAAGAGCTTAGAACAATGCATAGTTCAGAGAAAGACTCAATGTTATCACTGCATTAAACAAGCTTTCTGATCAAAACCATTATGCAACAATTCCAGCCTCACATAAACAATAGCTAATGTACATAATATTTTTATTTTTCATTTGTGCAGTTAAAATTGAGTACCTGGGGATGGAACAAATAAAATCTTATAATGGGTTATTGGGTTTTCCCTTCTTCACTTTTAGTTTAACCAATTTAATGGATGAGTGTTGCATCCACTATTCTAGACAGAAAGAATATTGAAATTCAAGTGTGTTTATCACTTACAATTTCAGAGCAAAGTCTCCCAAATTCTTGTAAGAAATCTTCTGTTGTTATCTCTGCTCTCATAAATTTCATCCAGGGCCCATTTTCGCCACCTGAGATCAAGGCCTTCACTATAGTTCCAGAAGGGATATGATTCTGTACCTCCCATTCTACCAAAAGTAAAACACATGGTAAGTGAAATGATATATGGACAAACAGCTGAAGTCTGGGGAGCAGGGTAATTACCATACAGGTTCTGTGGCATCACTGTCGTGCCAGGTCGGTTCTATTGGGAATTCAGAGAAATTCAGGAAATGGAAAATCTCAGCTTTAGACCTCCCAGGGAACAGCAGTAATAATTTGTGTGACTGAGGGGACACTGCTGCCAAGCATCAGTCCATGCCACCAGCTTGAGATGATGCTGGACATTACATTATGAATTGTCTTCCCTGGTCTCTTATTAGCTGGTTCATACGCATTAGGTCAGGCTTCCCTGGTAGTTCAGAGGTAAAGAATCCACCTACCAATGCAGGAGATGCATTTCATCCTCGGGTTGGCAAGATTCCCTGGAGAAGGGAATGGCAACCCACTCTAGTATTCTTGCCTGGGAAAATTCCATGGACAGAGGGACCTGGCCAACTACAGTTCATGGGCTCTCAAAAGAGTCGGACACGACTTAGCAACTAACCAACAACAGTCCTGGCACATGGTATGGAAGTACATGAGGGAATAAATCAGATTCTGACAGCACTCCAAAACAAACCCTTCATTTTGTAAACTGTAGTAAATCCTTCAGGGCAGGGCAGCTAGTACACGGAAACATGCAAATGGAGGGTGGTGTCTTTGAAAAAGAAAACTGTCCGTGAAGAGCCAAAGCAGTGGATGGATTACTATTATGTACATGGGGAGCGCTGGAATAGCAGATAATTTTTCCTGTACAAGAGGGTTTTCTCTTTCTATAATATACTTGCTTATGGGGCAAAAACATACAGCATCCATAATTATATCTAAGATACTTAACACAAAGTTTTTGTTTAATGTAGTAGTGGCTGTGCACTGAAAATATTTCAGACAACACAGAAAAGTATAAAAAAGAAAGCAGAATGACAAAGCAATCCCATTCTTCAGAAGTCACCAACGGGACCAACTCAGTATGTCTTCTGAGAACAGCAGGTCTTTTAGAACTCAATCCAAATAATAATACCTCTTTAATTTTACAACTAAAGTTAGAGGAATTTTTAGGATCTTAATAGCTGGCAAGCATGCGAGGAAACCGGCACGCTCCTAGGCTGCTGATGGGGGTGTAAATGAGCACAACCTCTATGGAGTGTAACATGTTAAATGCACATTTACAATTGATGTAGCAATTCTGCTTCTAGGAATTTCTCCCAAAGATATATTTATAAGTGTAAGCAAAGATTATGTATACCACTGTTGGGCAGAACTGCTCACAGTGAAAACTAGTAACTTACATGTATGATAATAAAGGGCTTGTTAAAGCGACCATGGTACATTCATATAATTAAATGCCACGTAGATGTTAAAATGTATAAACTAGGTCAAAGGTCAGCAAATTATGGCCTGGGGGCCAAATCTGTCTCCCATCTATTTTTGTGGATAAAGTTTTACTGTAACATAACCACAACTACTTGTTGACTATTGCTATGGCTGCTGCTGGCTCCAACAGTAAAGCTGAACAGTACCCCTCACAGAAAAAGTTTGCTAATTCCTGAACTAGACCTATGCCTGCTGTTGTTGTTGGTTAGTCACCAAGTGGTGTCCAACTCTTTGCAACCCAATGGACTGTAGCCTGCCAGGCTCCTCTGTCTGTGGGATTCTCCAGGCAAGAATACTGGAGTGGGTTGCCATTTCCTTCTCCAGGGGATCTTCCCACCCTAGAGATCGAACCTGAGTCTCCTGCATTGGTAGGCAGATTCTTTACCACTGAGCTACCTGGGAAGCCCATGCCTATTGATGTAGAAAATCTGGCAAGATATTTTACTAGGTCAGAAAAAACAAAGGTACATCTAACAGTTTGTATGAAAAGTGAGAGTGTTAGTTGCTCAGTTTTGTCCAACTCTATGATCCCATGGACTGTAGCTCACCAAGCTCCTCTGTCCATGGAATTCTCCAGGCAATAATATTAGAGTGGGAACCATTCCCTTCTCCAGGGGATCTTCCCAACCCAGAGACTGAACCCAAGTCTCCTGCATTGCAGGCGGATTCTTTACTATCTGAGTCACCAGGTAAGCCCAAACAGTTTGTATACCATGACCCAGTGGTATACAGCGTAGACACAGTACACACACACACACACACATACACACACACACACACACACATTCCTGTGTATATATTGGGAATTTTTCGAAGGATAAACAAATTTTTCACAATGATAACCAATGAAGGCTAGAACTGCGGGGAGCAGGTGGTGGTGACAATTAAGAAATTGGCCTCTGGAGAAGGAAACGGCAGCCCACCCCAGTATTCTTGCCTGGAAAAGTCCATGGACAGAGGAGCCTGGCGGGCTGCAGTCCATGGGGTTACATGACTGAGCATGTGTGCACGAGGGTGGAGGGAGATGGGTTGGTAGCAATAAAGTGGTAGAACTAAAAAAAAAAAAAGAAATTGGGCTCTGTATTTTTTTTAATCCAAAGTATTAAATATACTTTTAAAAATAAATAAATAAATAAATATACTTTTAGCACGAACTATTTAAAAAATATGGTTGGCATAAGTGAGTTTCTGAATAGAAAAAAATTAATTAAAATTAAATCTCTATTTCTCACAATTACAAAAATGAATTCTCTAAAGACTAAATACCCAAATCAGGAAAGGAAAAAAAAAATCCTCAAAAAGTTAGAAAACAAAATACAACAGCTTTATGAATGTCAAGGAAAGAAAGACTTCCTTAGCCTAGACACTTTACACTCAAGCCATAAAGAAAAACAGATGATTTTGATGAAAAGAAAAATGAAAATCCTGGTATTGCAAAAACATTATAAGATAAAAACACAAGTCAATAACAACCACAAGCCTTACTAACTGCTCAAAAGATTTCAGGCACTGCTGAATAACATACCATTTAAAAGTATGAGCAAGATTTGAAAAGGCAGACGAGGCAAGGAAGGGTAGCTTCAAGCAGAGGGAACAGAACCTACAAAGGCAAAGGAGTATAAACACATTTGGCAATTTTAAAGAGCATCAAGTAGTTGAAGGTAGCTGAAATGTGGGCAAATGTTGTGAAAAAAGAACAAGAGAGCTGTTTGTGAGAGGCCCTGGAACCAGGTAAAGCTTCTGGTCTTAAAGGGAAAAACATTGCAGGCACTCAAGGATTTGAAGCAGGAGAGGGAAGGGAGAAGATGTGATGTATGTTTTAGAAGGGCAGTTCTAGGGGCTGTGTGGAGGGGGTGTAAAACCCAGAGGCCAGAGGTTGAGTTAGCAGTTAGGAGGCTACTGTGATCAAGCAGGTGGGAGAATTTAGGAATATAACATGTGTAGAGGCAGTAGCAGTGGAAAGAAGAAAATAGCTTCTCAAGGTATTCTGGAAAGAGTTGAGAAAATTCCTGCCAAGTGATCTTTATGTTTGCTATAAAAGCAGAGATTCAGCTATCTGCCAAGGTTTGGTCTGGAGAAGTATGATGGCTCCAAGGGGAGTTTGGAACAGCCCTGTAGTAAATTCAAAAGGAATATCAGTGGAGGAAGAGAGAGCCTAAGGGCTCACTTGCAGCTGAGCTAAAAAACAAAACAAAAAATAGCTCAACCAGTTAGCAGAGCTCAGTAATTTTTCAACAAGGGGCACAGAAAACCTGACCTTGGGTTGATTTAGCATATAAAACTGCCCAATCAGCAACCACAGTCTGTCAAAAGAACAGAGACCTCTGTTTGGTCCTTCCTGTTGACCAGAATGTGCATGTGATGGCAGAAAGTGAAGCAGCCAAACCTGATCCACGAGAGTGGAAATGGGGTGTACTCACAGCAGAGCAACACAAGGAAAACCACCCAGGGCCCTGATAGCCCAGAGCAACACACTAGCCCAAGCCACACACCGGGATTCTCACGTAAAAACACGTTTGACTTCAATCTTGTTTCAGTCAGTGTTTTGTTAGGTTTCCCAACACTTCAAGCCAAACAAATCAAACTTAAGTCAGTTCAACTGAGTGCATAAAAAGGTAATACCAGAAGGGGCTGAAAAAAGAAGGATCAGAGCCTAGAGGTTTGTCTTGGAACAAAAGCAGGTGTAGAGGGAGGTTGATGGAAGAGGAAAGGTTGTGATCACAGTGGGGAGGGGGGAAGATTTCAGCATTCACAAGTAGTTCTCCAGGAAAGGTAGTTAAATTCTACCTATAACATTGACAATAATAATGGCAGCTTGTCATTTATTGAGAATTTCAGATGAGCCAAGCACTCATTCTGCTAATCAAGTGCTTTCTATGTATAATCTCACTTAACCATCTCCTAGCACCAAAGATGTACAGATCATTAGCCCTAATTTAATGATGAGGAAACTAAGAGAAGTGAAATCACTTACCCAAGATCCTCAGCAGCACTAACTGTTGCTTGAAATTTGATTCAAGAGCAAGAATAGCACCCACTGAGACACACTGTCATCTCCCCTCAACACCCTCCTTTCCCCCACCCCCACGCACACCAGTCTCCAAAGGTGAAGGAGAATGAAGAGCTCACCTGTGGCCACGCTCCCTGGAGAAGGAAGCAGAACTCCGCCCATGTCAAAAATCACTGCTCTGTAGGGGCCACCTCCAGAATGCATCCATCTCCGGGCTCCCGGGTGCCTGCCCTGGACATGTTTCAGGAAGGCCGCCCTCCAAGTCCGCTGGAGCTGGGAGGACTGCAGAAGCCGCCTTAGGCACATGTTGGGGCCAAGGCTGTGAAGCAGAAACAGGACATGGTTAGCCGTCACCGCCTCCAAGTAGACCTCCGTCCTGGCACTCAGGGCGCCACCAGCATGTCTACTCTGACTCCCAAGCAGCATTTCAGACACAACCAGAGCTGAACTCAGTGTCTCTGCCCTCCATGACAACTCCTTTCCTAAGGTCCTTGGCTCAGGAAAGCGCTCCCCTGTCCCCCCAGCTACCCAAGCTAGAAAACTGGATTCACCCCTCAGTCTTCCAGCCAGACACCTCCATTCTGGAGCTCGGTGTGACCGGTCATTCCTCCCAAAGCTCTCCATCTACTCTCTCCACTCCCACTGCATGATCTCACCCACAGACCTTTGCAGCAGCCTCCTAAGTGGGTCCCCTTGCCTCGTCAGTCAAAATTGCAAATTTGATCATGTCCTACCCCCATTTAAAATCTCCAGTGAAAAAAATAAAATAAAATAAAATCCAGTGACTCCCCATCGTCCTCACAATAAACTCTCAGCTCCTTAAACTGCTTGAAAAGGCCCTCTGAGAACTTCTCCCCTCTGGGCAGCAGCTCTCCTTTGTACTTCACCTTAGCCTGGGTGACCTCGACACTCATGTCCACAGCAGCTTCACTGAACACACGATGCGCTCCTCCCGTGGCCAGGCCTTAGCATATGCTATTTCCCTGGACAACTGCCCATTGTCCCTCAGGTTGTCGTTTGCCTGTCACTTCCTTCATGAAACCTCTTCCGGCCACCAGAAGAGGCAGATGAGCAGTCTCTGCTGTACTGTCTCAGGGTGCCCCGTACTCACCACCTCCTAGCACTCACGATGCCACCGCACTATCATCCCTGCTACAGAGCAGCGCGATGACCTCCTGATCGTCACCGCCTCTTTTCTAAACTTACTTTCAACAAGTTCAGGGGAAACAAAAACACACACACAACAGGTACATGTATATATAGATACACAAACATTTCCACATGAATAGCCATAAATGTGCCAAATGTTAATAATCAGTGAAAGGCACATGATGAAAGGTGTATGAGAGATCCTCGTACTCTTCTTTCCATGTTTTTTAGGTCTGAAATAAAAACTGGGAAAAAGGACAAAAACAACAACAAACTCCAGTCGCAGTCAGTTCCACTTGAAAATCTTGAAGTTTCTCATGTTATGTCTATGGTTAAAAGCTAAGAAGCAAGTTAGAGCAAAACAGGTTGGTAAGACAGCCTGCACGTTCATGGGAATCACCTCAGTGCCACCATAAGGACTAAGTAAAGTATGTAGGAATCTAAAGAAAGAATGCTTAGGAAGTAAATGCTCAAGATGATACAATGTGTTTCTTATGTAATTGGAAATTTGTAATTAGAAAGCTGAAATGAAAAATGTAGAGATTGATTTGCATTTTGGGTTTTACTTATGTTTCTATGCCAAGGCCAAAGTTAATGATGGCAGGAGAAATTTATTTATAGGCTCCAGTGTCAACACGTTCTGTGTGAGGGCTTAACAGAGATGAAAAGGGTGTCTGGACCTGAAAGGTTGACTTTCATTCTCATTGAGGACACTGTCCTCCTCATGAAAGTGAAAGTTGTGCAGTCCTGTCCGACACTTTGCAACCTCATGGACTATACAGTCCATGGAATCCTCCAGGCCAGAATACTGAAGTGGGTAGCCGTTTCTCCTCCTCCTCATGACTCCTGCTAATGGATAAGTAGGCAACTCTCCTATGACTGGCTTCCTTCTTCCTTCCAACTAAAGATGATGCTTCTGTTCTAGCCACGTACTGATTGTGGCTCATTTCATCATCACAGCTGTACAAAGATACTAAGTCAAGTTTACACAAAATTTAACTCAAGGTCACGAAACTGGTGATCAGGGTCTATTCCATAATCACCAACGTATCTCTACCGCCGAAAAAGAGCCTGGGCTCTCAGTAAACATTTGTTAAGAGATTAGTCCCGGAGGGGGACCCAGATCGATCTCCAGTTCAGGGCACTTAACCAGCCCACCGTCCTACCTTAACAGAATCAGAAACACTGCAACTAGTGCAAACTCCCCAGGCGAATTCAGCCCTCTGAGCCTCAGCGCACCTATCTGTAAAGCGTGGCTGACACAAAGCAACTCTGCCTACAGCTGGAGCGAGATCAAACACGACAAAAAAAGAGATCAGAGCTCGGGTCTCTGCAGGGCGCGGGTTCCTCGGACAATCGGAGACCTCGCGGAATCAGAGACTGCTCGCCGTCAGATGACGTGGGCTGAGGGAACGTCCCCTCAGGCCTGGGAGCAAAACCCACCGATCTTCCTAAATAGGGTCCAAGTGCCCGCGAACCCTGTGACGTGCCTCCTCCAAGTCTTCTTGGAATCCTGACCGGTGAGCGCTGGTTCGCCTCCGAGCAAACACGGCGGTCACGTGGGCGCACCCAATCAGCTAGCCCGCTGATACGCGCTTGCGTAACCCCAAGGGTCAGCGACGGCGGCCGGCAGGCGGCAGTGAAGGTTTTAGCTGTAGCGGGTGGCGGGGCGGCGGCGGCGCTACCCGCCCCGGGGCGCTCAGCCTCAAGGCTCCCCTCCCAGCCTCGCCTGAGCCCTCCGGGGCCTGCGCCGGCCAGCGCCTGCCCTATGAGCGGTTGTCATCCACTCGGAGCTCCCAGAACACTCGCGGGCCCCCGCCGACTTCAGCTTCAGCGGTGAGTCCGCGGCCTCTCCGCCTCCCCCGTAGCCCGCGCCTGGGCCCCCGGGCTCGTCCTCTCGGAGTCAGTCCGGGCAGGAGCCTCGGCGAGGGCTTTCGCCTCAGGAGGAAGCCGAGAAGTGGTTGGGATCCCTCTCATTTCCCCCATTCTTAGGAGGTCTTCCCTGGTGTCACCCCTGGGGAGTCTTCCTCTGTTCCTCCTTCCTGGTGCCTTCCCATCGGGGCTCTTTATATTTGGCGCGTTGCTCTCTCCAACCTCGGTGAGAGCCTAGTTGTGCGAGTTGATTTCCTCTAGGCTTTGTGAAAACACAGGGAATACCCAGCACTCTGACGGCTCCTGGGAGGGTTTAATTAAATCCTTCCTCTTTGGAAAACTTTCCATTAAAGGGCCCTGTAGCAGTAGTTACAACTAAAATGTCTACACGTTCTGTATCTGAGCACTGTACTAAATACTTTCTGGGCACTGTTTTCTCTAATTGTCTTCATTCAACCCTACTAGTAGATGGGTGTGTGAGCCTTTTACAAACCGGGAAACTGAAGCCCTGGGATTAAGCGCCTTGCCCAGGATCATCTGCCAGATGGAATTCTACCTCAGAGAGCTGGACTTGATCTGAGCTCTTCATTCCCAGTCACACAGCCTCCTCAGGGGGAATGCAGGTATGGCTCTGTTCTTTGAACCTCCATCAGTTTATCTAACAACAACATTCATTCAAAAAATGTAATCCAACGTGTCTGACTTCTTTCACTTTCAGTTCATTTCAGTCCCTCAGTCGTGCCGACTCTTTTCGACCCCATGGACTGTAGGCTTCCCTGTCCATCACCAGCTCCCTCGGAGCCTACTCAAACTCATGTCCTTTGAGTCGTTGGTGCCATCCAACCATCTCAGACTCTGTCACCCCCTTCTCCTCCTGCCTTCAGTCTTTCCCAGCATCAGGGTCTTTTCCAGTGAGTCAGCTCTTCGCATCAGGTGGCCAAAGTATTGGAGACATGATGTAGTCTTCCACTTTGGCATGTTTTAAAGACTCAACTGAGTAGCTCTGTGTTTTCAGAGCTCTTTTTCTTTGTGACTAGTGTTCCACTGTGTGGATGAACATCATTTATTATTCATTGATTTATTGGTGGAAATTTGGGTTTCCAATTTTGGTTGTTATGAATAAAACTGTTATCAGCATTTGTGTAAAAGTAAAAAAGAAAAATACTTTTTGAGAGCCCACTCTCTGTTGGAGTTTTAGTTGTGTGTGGATAGGGATGCCTTGCTTTAATGGTACCAGCAGTTCACTCAAAGTTCATGGAGACGAATGAAGTAAATAATTACAGAATAAATGTAGAACTGCAGCTGTGACAAATGTGATGAACGAAGGGAAGATAGAATTTAGACAGCTGTTACGAGAGGATGTGTTTGGGGAGGGGGCCTGGGCCTGGTGACATGGGGAACTTCCCTGAGTGTGTGAATTTTGGAGCCGTTAATTAAAAGACTGAATATGATTTAATAGGCTACTGGGTTTTGAAAATCAGCTAAGTTGACATAAGCCACATATACACTTCTACATGGGTCAGTCATTGATTCATTAATTTATTCAACAAATCTTTAAATATCTTCCAATATGTGCTAGGCACTGTGATGTAAGTGCTGAGGATACAGTGCTGGGCAAAACAAGCATAAAGTCCACTCTGATAAAGCCTGTAATCACAGATTTAGGGTGTGATGGCATAAGGCTATCCTAGGGTGTTTAAGAAGACTACCCTAAAAGTTTTTTAAAGTTTCGATTATTAGTGGACTTTAGCCTTCATTTGGGGTCCAACACAAAGTGTCACTCTACAAGTGTTACTGAAATGTTGGTTCATCTGAGCGTGATCACTGTCAAAGCTCTTGTCTCCTTCATTTGCTTTAAAGTGCATGATTTTCACTAGAACTGCCCTGCATTTCTGAGTTTATTGCCCTCGGCATTAACTGACTGTCAGGTACAGCAGGAGCCGCAGAGGTGAGTGAGAGGACTACTGCAAAGGCAGCTTACAGTCTTGAGGGAGGGCAGCAGAGAGAAAAGGGAAACCTGTGGATGCATACATTGAGAGTGGATTTATCAGGTATTAATCATTCATGTGTTCTTTAGTCAGAGAAATGTCTGAAGAGGAGATCCAAAAGAAGACACTGGCTTCAGCTGTAGCCTGTTTAGAAGGGAAGTCACCAGGGGAGAAAGCAGCAATCATACATCAGCATCTTGGTCATCGAGAAATGACAGATGCGATCATTGAGACCAGGAAGGCCAACCCAGGTATGCTTTCCAAAACCATAGGCTATCTTCTCTAAGGTAAACTCATGGTTGCTTATGTTGCAGTGGTGTTCAGTGAGCCTGTGATTAAGACCTCTAGCATACTTTAGCTTTTACTGCTTATGTTCCTTACATGAGGCTTTCAGGCCACATTTCAGTTTCTCTAAATATTTCTTCTAAATTACTTGTAACAAGCTAGGTTGACAACTCTCCTCAGTGAGGAGAACTACTTAGCATGTAGGTCTGTGGCGATTCATGTTGAATCCAGATAAGCACATTGTGACTCCCCGCCCCCAACCCTCTCCCCAGCTCACTCCATCCAGGGGAGCGGGTGTGTATTGCATCTCCAGTGTGGAAGAACTGGTAGGTTTGGTTTTCAAACTTAATAGCCCTGAATATTTGTCTCACTCAGGAGTGTATGATAGAAGACACCTGCTTTCTTATGGTATTTCTAAATATAAGAGCCATCTCTGCGTTTGAGGGTGTTAATGATTTTTTTTTTATGGGGCAGAGACCACTTTTAAGTTGAGATTCCCCCATAACTCCACTGTTCTGTGAATATAGTTCTTAACATAAGACGTCACAATTTCTCTGGGACCACAATGGAGGTGAACACCACTCCCATTTTCTAATTTGGATTCATTTCTGTCTGAGGACATCTCCATCAGAACCCCTCCACTTTCCCTCACAGCTTAAAATCTTCCTGATAGCTGTGGCAAACTCCAGTTCTCAATGTGTCCCGTAGGGTGCTGTTTCCTACGAATGGCCTGAATTGCACAGGATAAAGAGAGTTAATACTTAAATTTCTGCCCTCTCACTCTTTTTTAAAATTCAAGTGATTTATTTATTTATTTTTTAAAATATTCATTTATTTATGTATTTGGCTGCCCTGGGTCTTAGTTGCAGCACGTAGGATCGTTAGTTGCCGCATGTGGGATCTAGTTCCCTGACCAGGGATCAAACCTGAGCCCTCTGTATTGGGAGCACAGAGTCTTAGCCACTGAACCGCCAGGGAAGGCCCAATTCAAGTGATTTAAACCAGTTTTAAAGAATTATTGCAAGGCATTTAATTTGGATCTGTGAAAACAAAAATTTTGTCCAAGTTAAAGGCTTATGGAGACCTTTTTCATTCTGAAGAACCATGCATTGGTTGACTCATTCTTTTCTCTAGATAATTATGTCCACTGACTGGTTGCAAGTAAAACAGATGATGGAAAACTAGTACAGTATGAGGATGATACTTGCCCAATGGAGAAAATAGACACCTTACAGTTAAAGGTAAGATATTTTATTAGTAATTACTAAATACTTATATCTACTGTTTTTTACTATTCCAAGTGTCCATCCACTGGATAAAGACAAATGGATAAAGAGGATATGGTGTGTGTGTGTGTGTGTGCGTGTATACACACACATATACACACAATGGAATCCAAATAGGATGCCATGTACTTACTAGAAAAATGAGGAGAATAAGGTGGCCTGTCATGAGTATCCATGGTGACATGAGTCAACAGGAATGTGACTAGGTTGTAAATGAATTTAAACATGGAAGAACTCTTATTCTGATTGCTACAAATGTGGCCTCCAGAAGGCTAGATGTGGAAGATGTAAAATTCGTCATCAATTTTAACTACCCTAACTCCTCAGAGTATTATCTTCATCGAATTGGAAGAACAGCTCACAGAACCAAAACAGGCACAGCATACACTTACTTTACACCTAATAACATAAAGCAAGTGAGTGACCTTATCTCTGTGCTCCTTGAAGCTAATCAAGCAGTTAATCCCAAGTTGCTTCAGTTGGTCAGAAACAGTTTCAGATCATTTCAGAGTCAGGGGAGACATGCAGGCTGACTGTCACAACAGATACTCTGTGGGCAAAACAGATGGACTAAATCCCTTTAGAGACAGAGAAAATTATGAAAGAGGTTACATTAGTCTGCTTAAGAGAGATTTGGGAGCAGAAACTCAGAATGTGGTTTATATTTGCTGCAAATTACACCAGTGGGAGCTTTGGAAGTAATTTTGTGCCTGCTGGTATACAGACCAATTTTAGAACTAGTAATCCAACAGGGACTTACCAGAATGGTTATGATACCATTCAGCAATATGGGAGTAATGTTCCATATATGCACCATGGTGTGAAACAGCAAGTATTGGCATATCCTGCTACTGCAGCTGAGCCTATATTTGGTTATCCAGTGCAAACAGGATATTCTCAATAAGACTTTATAAGTCAGCCACTATGGAAAACAGTGTGGAGATTTCTTAAAAAGCTGGAAATAGAACTGCCATATGACCCAGCAATCCCACTTCTGGGCATACACACCAAGGAAACCAGATCTGAAAGAGACACGTGCACCCCAATGTTCATCGCAGCACTGTTTATAATAGCCAGGACATGGAAGCAACCTAGATGCCCATCAGCAGACGAATGGATGAGGAAGCTGTGGTACATATACACCATGGAATATTACTCAGCCATTAAAAAGAATTCATTTGAATCAGTTCTAATGAGATGGATGAAACTGGAGCCCATTATACAGAGCGAAGTAAGCCAGAAAGATAAAGACCATTACAGTATACTAACACATATATATGGAATTTAGAAAGATGGTAACGATAACCCTATATGCAAAACAGAAAAAGAGACTCAGATGTATAGAACAGACTTGTGGACTCTGGGAGAAGGCGAGGGTGGGATGTTTCAAGAGAACAGCATTGAAACATGTATATTATCTAGGGTGAAACAGATCACCAGCCCAGGTTGGGTGCATGAGACAAGTGCTCGGGCCTGGTGCACTGGGAAGACCCAGAGGGATCGGGTGGAGAGGGAGGTGGGAGGGGGGACCGGGATGGGGAATACATGTAAATCCATGGCTAATTCATTTCAATGTATGACAAAAACCATTGCAATGATGTAAAGTAATTAGCCTCCAACTAATAAAAATAAATGGAAAAAAAAAAGACTTTATAAGTATGTGTAAACATCTGTTTTTCATAACTGCTCTTTACATTATATGTTATCAGACAAAATAGTTATTTAAGAAATGTGGGGAATGCAGAAATGACTACACTGCAGCAGTAATTATGATGCACTTTTTTGCTATTTAAGTTGGATATTTCTCTACATTCCTAAAACAGTTTTTAGTGTTTTTTTGTACTAAAAAGGGCAGGCAGTGTTTTCCCCAAAGTTAAGTGTACAGTGATTTGAAATACAGTAAATGAAGGCAATGCGTGACATCCCAATAAAAAATATTTGAAGATTAAAAAAATATTTTTCTCTATCAAACTTTATTCTTCTGACTCAAAGTTTTCTTCTAATTGGAATCCTGCTCATTTTTAGTTTCTGAAAGATGAGCTGAAAGCTGCAATGGAAGAAAGTCTTCAGAAGCTTCCCCCATTGCACCAAGAAGTAAAGATCAAAGTAAAGAAGGTGTAAACGCTGTTCCTGATTCTCCATCCAGGCAGCTTCCAGACCAGATTTCCTTCTAAAGTGGAAACCTCTCAGTTGAAATAGTTCACAGTATTATGCATCTATTCAAGACAAGGTGAGAAAAACACTGTTTCCTTTTGAGTTTGCCTATTTTTTGACATTGGGCAGAGAAAGTGCTCTTGCCCTGAAGGGAATGGATATTTTAAGCTTCAAAGGAATAGAACAATATTTTTTGTGTTAAAGAATTCCCTGGTGTTTTATATTTAGCTAAATCTTGTAGATTGGGTCAAAGCTTCTTAAAAAGTAACATAGATATACCTGAGAAAATACCTGGGAAAGTTCTAGAGAAGGTAGGCATGCAGGTGATTAGGAAGTTGAAAGGAAGCAATATAGGAGATAGATGGGCTCCAGGTTAGACATTTACAGCTGTTCTCCCGTTTGCATTTCATGGGGCATGAAGAAGTGGGCTTCAGGCTGGATACTTACAACTGTTAGCATTTTGTGAGACAAGAGATAGGTGGTCTCCTTAAGTGTAAACACCTTAAGGTAGTAGTCCTGGCTATACCTATAGTCAAGGTTATAATCATGGCAAGGACAAAGAGGGGAACCTTGTTTGAGTAAAGGATTAAGGGATCTCCCTCCCTCCCTCTTTTGGGACGAGGGAGACACTACACATGGCAGAAAGGCTCCTTGTTGTGGGTCGAAGTCAGGGGACAATACCAGGCCATAATGAGTCTTGCTCCTCCCAGATGCCTTCACTTTGAGATCCGTCTTGGCTGAGGGGTATGAGTGTACCCCCAAGGGAGTGTCCCAGGTTAGGTCAGGTGTGGAATAAGAAACCAGATAATTGAATTGGAAGAAGACAAAGACCTGGAAGAACTCACCTATATAAATGACTTAACCACCTCTTTATTGCACTCCTCCTCACTAGGGTGGGTGCGCACACCCTTCCTCTCCAGGTGTGCATCTCTGCCTTGCTTCTGCCTTAACTAAACAAACCATTTCTCTGTGTGCTCTCCCACTTGTTGTGCTACGTCTCTAATGATAAACTTTGTATCTACATTTGCAGTTTCTGCCTCTGTGATAAATGCACTGGGGGCAAAGATCCAGGAAAAAATTGCTTCTAGCCTGTAGCCCTTGCTGGTCTGGTAGCTAGGATTCCTGGTTTTCAACCAGGCTACCCAGGTTCAATACCTGGGCATGGAATTAAGATCTAGCTTCACGCCACCACTCACTGCTGCCTTGCTGAGATCAGAAGGAAGATAAAAAAGAAAAGAAAAATTATAAGTGATCCATAACATTGTTGTAGTCTCATATTCCCACCAAGTCTTTACTAAAGAAGCTTGTAGGTCAGTTAACTGATTGCAGTTTCATCATGTCTTTCAACTCCTTTCTGTGGTCCAAACAAGGCTTGCTTGAGGCCAAAGGAAAGGAAGGGTTTGTTTGGTAATCAGTAAGCTGGGCCACCAGCTCCTTGGATGTTGGTAGCAGACCTCTTTAAAAGTCTCTAAAGAGGACAGTCCTTGTCCTGCCTTGTTCGCTCGGTCCCCACTGGGACACAGAATACTCCAGTAGCCATTTTGGATCACAGCTGTTGAAGTGAGTTTGCAGCATTTCAAAAGCAAATTGCATTGTGGGAGACTTTTCTTTCCCCTCTATTCCAGCTGTTCCAACCCAGCAAAACTTTCTGTAATCTTCAGAGTCACACCCTCAAGGCTCAGAATTCTCTTTCTTATACATAACTTTAGAACACAGATCATGTGTTTTTATGTAACTAATTGAGATCTTACCTCCTTCTTGGCAGAACCTTTGGATTTATCTAATATGTGGCCACATAGGATGTGGACAATATGTGAGTCAACATGCCTATAAGCATTTAGAGGAGACCCAACACACGTATGCCATGCAGCCCACCAACCATCGAGTCTGGGACTACACTGGAGGTGAACACCACTCTTATTTTCTAATTTGGATTCATTCTGTCTGAAAACATCTCCATCAGAACTTTCTCTCAACCTTCTCACAGCTTGAAATCTTCCTGACAGCTGTGGCAAACTCCAGTTCTCATGGTGCCCCATAGGGTGCTATTTCCTGTGAATGGCCTGCATTACACAGGATAAAGAGAGTTAATGCTTACACTCCTGCCCTCTCATTTTTTTTTTAATCCAAATCATTTAAACCACTTTCTAAAGAAATATTGCATGGCATTTAATTTGGATCTGTAAAAACAGAAATTTTGTTGAAGTTAAAGGCATAATTATGGAGACTTTTCATTCTGAAGAAACACATCTTGGTTGACCCATTCTTTTCTTTAGATAATTATTTCTGTTGACTGGTTTCAAGTAAAACAGATGGAAAAATAGTACAGTGTGAATGTGAGGGTGACACTTGGCAGGAGGAGAAAATAGATGCCTTACAGTTAGAGGTAAGATATTTTATTAGTAATTACTAAATAACCTATGTCTACTGCTTTTTACTATTCTAAGTTGGAAGGTTGTTTGGGCTTTTAATTTTGCCATTTGCCCTGCATGTTAGCTTTTGTTTTTAAGATCTATGTTGCTCTGAAGGATTATTAAAATATTTTTATTCCGTCTCATTTTCAGCTTTGAAAGTCTGGGTTTCACTGAGTCGTATTACTTCCAGTGTCACGTTCCTAGTTGTCTCAGGTTCAGGATTAGGGTTGTCCTCTGTAGCTGTGATAAAACTGGAGATAAGAATCTTCCTGTCGGCATCACAGTAGCAGTTGGAAATTGAGCAAACTTGGTCAGGATAAGGAACCTCCAAAGCATCTTTCCATGCCAAGAAGCTTTTTCACATACACTGGGCTGGAGCTTATGAACTGGACCCTTACACAGATGAAGTCATGTAGGGGTATTCATGTAATTAAACACAAAATTAGCACAGTCTGATTTTTCTCACTGAAGTAATTCCCATCTATCGTAAAATTGATGTGTAAATTTTATGTTAAGGGAGGAATAGTTTAACATGAGGTCTATTTTATATAAATTTCAAAATGATGGTTTTAAAAACAAATACCTTAACCATAGGAGGAAGTAGACATTGGAAACGTGATCATCTCCAGACTTTTAAGGTCAGTGGAATGGCCTAAAATAGGGTTGTTGTTACTATTAATAAACTCTATTAATCTGAAAAAGCTCAAATCTTTAATGTTAAAGTTTTTAGACTAAGTAACTATAATATATTAAGTATGTTTATTCAGTGAGTATTTATTGAGAGTTATTCTCCATGTGCTGGGAATTCAGCATTGAATAGACTCCATGCTCTCATAGAGTGTACATTCTAGTGACACGCACATTTTCCCAATTGTCGTTTCTTTCTGTTACCCTTTCATTCTCTAGCCTGCAAACATGATTAGATCGCTTCCAGTCTCCTGGAACAGTTTCCAGAATGCAGATGTGACTTACTGTCTCTCACAGTCATGTCCATTGATTGAGCTCAGCTAGACAGGGCTTGCTCATGTTGCACAGTTAAGGCACCTGGGGCCACAGGTGCAAGGTGACTTCTTCACTCATATGGCTGACAGCACATAGTTGCTTGGGTTTCCTGACTGTATGGCAGGCTCAGGCTAGTCTGACCTCTCACATGACAGCTGGTTTCCCCAGAGAGTTCCACAATACCAGGAAGAAGCTGTAAGACTTCTAAGATCTAGCTTTAGATTTTGCCACCAAATTCCATTGATCAGCATGAGTCACGAGCCCCATCCAGGTTCACAGAGGGGGAGGAGAGCCTCCACCCCTGCCTGAGAAGAGCAGCAAAGAATGAGCAGCCACCTTTCCTCTACCACACTACTGTCATGATTGTTGTAAGAACCAAGTTAGATTATTCTTTCAACCATTTAACAAATTTTTCATGAACACCTGCAATGGGCCAGGCACTGTTCTAGGGCTGAGGACACAGTGGGAACCAAACTCAGTAAAGATCTCTCTCTCATGGAGCTGGTATTCTGGTGGACATAGAAAATCAATCAGATACACAAGGCAACCTCAGACTGCAGTCGTAAGTGCAAATGAGAAAAACAGGATCCAGACAGTACTGAATAGGGGGAAGATAGAGAAGGCTAGCTCTGTGCTCTCGTGAGGAGGAACAGCTCCCGCCTCCGGGGAGAGACTGCTGCTGGTTTAATGAAGCCAGTATCAGGGATGCACATGCCTCTCCATTCACTCAGGGAAGGAGTCCTTATGCAAAGCCACTATTCTCGTGTAAGAGTCTCTGCTCCCAGAGCCAAGCAGTGGCCTCAGGGGAGTACAGAGGGGAAATTTCCCCTGAGGTTAAGGAAGCTGGTCTCTCAGGGAGGGGGCTGAGGTCACTTTAGTCACTTCAACCAAGGTGAAAGTGAAGGTAAGGACACCCCTCCAAGCTCTTCCTTGCCCAAGAGCTGTCCCAATATGGCTTGACCCTGGCTTAGGACTCCAGTCACTCTGGGCCAGGGTCTGGGACCTCAAACAAGATCAAGGCATGAAGCAAAGCCCAGAACTTGGTTGATGCTAGGGCCTGAGATTTCAGGGCAGCAGGACCCATGGAGGGCTGGCTTGGCTCAGTGGCCAGGGGTTGAGACAAAAGTAGGAGGAATCCGGATCTTTTAATCACATTGCCCCATTTGTGTCACATGGGAAAAAGGACTTCACCTGCTCACACCTTCATTTCCTCATCTGTTGAGTAGGAATCACTGTAATACCCCTCACAGAGGGGCACATGAGAGGCTTCCAAGTGTTGCCTTGAGCCTCACGGAGCGAGCATGCAAGGCAGTGACCATAATGGTAGTGCCTGCATGACACAAGAAGAACCGGGCAGTCTGGGTCCACTAAGGGTCACTTTCTTAGGCTCAAATTTGGCATTTCAGCACAATGCCGCCCCACCCGTCACATCAGAATCTGAGCTGTGCACCTGCAGTAAGATGCTCAGGGCCTTCAGGAGGAGAGTGTGGGTGAACATCAGCTAGGTTCTTGGGAAATGTGTGTGGGTTCACATTAGTTGGTTGATCATCAGTCTGGAGAGAAAAGACACCTCTGTTTCTTCCTGCAGGAGAGCTGGGAAGTGGGTGACAGGTAGTTTCCAGTGGCGGGAACAGGTGTGGCAGTTCAGGCTGGAAGCCAGGTAGACCCTAGTTCAAGCTGGACTGGGCCACACCCTGCCCACATGCTCCCTTCTCTGAGAATTGACCTCACCTCCTGCTGAACGTGGAGGAGAGTGAAGCCCACGGGGAGAAACAGAGATAACACCCATGAAGGAGGGAGGAGGGCCTGGCCCACAGTCTGCGACCACTCTGAGCATCTGTTCCATTGCCACCCTGAGTGCAGGTTCAGGATTCACAGCTTCACACCCACAGCTTCACTGAAGCACTTGAAGGGAGAGGTCAGCTACAGAGAGAAACAGGCTGTAGTGGTGGGGTGAGCCCGACTAACCTTGTACTGTTTCCTTCTCCTGACCAGGATGGTCAGCACCTGGTCCCGAGAGGATGACCCACCCAAATTTGGGTTATGTACTCAAACACAGATAGTTGAGTATTTCTGAACTATATTCTGGTCATAGGCTGGTATGATGCTGTTGTGACCACAGTAGATGTCTCATCAGTCTTAATCTTGCGTACTATCCTTTCTCTTCACCAAGGTCTTTAAGTCTGGGAGTGATGGGTTTCCATGTGTGTTTTTGAGGGGTTCCTCTAGGGACAGCATGGAAAATCGGTCCTAGAGAGGAGGACAGGCTGCAACAGCAGAGAGCTGACGTGAGAAACGATGAGGGCCTAAGTAGAAGCAACAGGGCTGGCTGGGAGGGAGAACATGAAGGTAGACTTGACAGGTTGCTGGGTGGAGACGAGGGAGAGGAGGAGTGAAAGATGTGTGAGGATGCAGCTGACATACTGCATCAGGCTGAAGTGTGAGTTTTTGTTCTCCACTCCTTGTGTATGACAGAATGTTCACAAAGTCTCTGAGACCTATCTTCTTCTTTGTTCCCAAAGCTCATTTCCAAAATAACATTTTAGCAATCTGTGTTTTGGATATTGAAATAAAGAAAATCACCTAGCAATGGCTTCACAATTTGGGTTTATTTCCATTCTCCCAGAGCACTTCTACCCTGGGTCTGTAGGCTGCCACCATCAGCTGGGGGCGGTGGGGGACACAGAGTAGGAGGCCACCGTATCACCCTCAGATTGGGAGCAACCAGAGGCACAGCACCCTGCCTGGACTCCTAATATTCATGCAGAGTCTCACAGCCAGAGAGAAGGGGCCTGGCTGCCCATCTGGCACCTGGACTAAAGATCACTTCTCCAGGCTCTTCATTACTCCCCTTCCCCCTTGCCTGAAACAGGCAACTCCAGGCTTCTCACACAGGAGTGTGTTCTGTAGGGACCCATCAAGGCTAGGTTCACAGCAAGGATCCCAGGACAGAGCTGCCGGGAGGGGTGCAAGGAGCACACATACTAGGCCTTTGAAAGCACATCATTTAAAGATTTGGGCACCACAGGCCCGGCGGAGACGATCTGACTCCTGCAAGTCTAACTGTGGTGCTTCAGCTCCATCTTGGCCACTGCCCTCTGGTGCACCTGATCAGCAAGGCGCAGTACTCGGACCCCCACGAAGAACTGAGCCAGTGGGTGGTCGCTGCTCAGCCCTGCTGCTCCAAAGACCTGGCAGACACAGGGCAGGAGGGGAGGAAGCCCTGGGTGAGCCCTCATCCCTGAGAGCCCCAGGAACAAGTGCCTGCTCCTAAGATGTCAGGACAGCTCAGAACAGCCACCTTTCAGGGATGTCCCCTGACACCTGTGTGACAACAGTGTTCTGGAAGAGTCCAGATGGGGCCTCACTAGCCATCCCAGGGACACCAGACTCCCCAGTCTGCTCTGCTAGGTGACTTCTGCTGTCGGGAAGTCCCTCTCTAGGGACCATGGATTGAGATTTGAGAAGGAGGCATCTCTATGTGGTTAGGAGGCTGGGCCTGGTATAAGAAGGACCTAGGTTTCCCAAAATCTGAGCTCAGCTCCTTGCAAGCTGAGTGACCTTGGACAAATCACTTTCCTGTGCTTCTGTTTCCATGTATTCAAAATGGAAGCAGGAATAGGACCCCTCATAGGGTTGTTCTGAGGAGGAAAAGGACAGTCATGTATGGGGGGGTGTACAACAAAGGGCAGCTATTAGTTTACAGGAGGTAGGGCAGCTGAAGGAGACGAATTCTGAATCTTGTGAATGATTCAGAAGAACCAGCGATCCATCATCTGCACTCACCTGAATAGCACGATCAATCACTCGGGAAGCCATGGATGGGGCCACCATTTTAATCATGGCAATATCCAGAGCTGCAGCCTGCAAGGAAGAGGAGCTGTGGTGAAGAGGGCAGACCCCAGGGCGGAACGTGTGGAAGATCGATCAGTTTCACAGGGAGGAGTAGAAACAATAGCTCAGAACAGAGACCTCAGGTCCCTCCCTCTGGACCACAAGCCTTGCCTGGTGCATGGACCCTGCCCAGCACCAATGGGGTGGAGGGGTGGGGCGGGGGAGGGGGTGACGAGGCAGGTGACTCGGGGTGCTGCGTGGTGTGGTCAGTTGCCTGGTCAAGGAAAGACAAGGAGTATCTTCCCAGGCGACGGGCAGCATCACTGCACACACAGTGCAGCGTGGGGACTGGCCTGAACCTCCTTCAGGGTCATGATAGCTCTGTATTCAAAGGGAAAGGTGGAACGAGGCCAGCCAGGACTCTAGGAGATTGAGGTACAAGCATCTTCCCTGAGTTCGGGATTTTAATCAAAGCCCCTGAGAGCTCTCATACCTGGCACTAGATGACCAAGATACCAGGAACTTGAGCCTGGGTCACCCCCTGCTACCGAGGCCTCTCAGCTAAGGGTTGGAGACCCGGTAAAGAGATCAAGAAGGCAGGGATTGGCATGGCATCA